CATAATTTGGTGATTTTTTATAGATAAAAAGTTAGAAATTACTTATTGGGTTTAAGTTGGTGGTTTTCATGCCTGTTTTTTTAAAAAAGAGATTCCCAAACTATCGATATTTTAGTAAGTCATTAAACTTTATCAGCATGTGGAAAAAAAATACTTTAGCAATTTAAAATACAAATTTTAATTATTAAATGAAGATTATGGGATACATTAAAAAAATTAATGCTTACATTCTACTTCAAATCTTTCTGTAATTTTCTTGGACTTTTCTTCTTTTGAAATACACAGTGATTTGTTTTTACTTAAAAAGACATCAGAGAATAGCAGAGACCCAGCTTCAGGCAAACCTCAGCAATAGTGGCTATCAAGGAAACTCCTTGTTATTCTTATCAGAAAATTTTCACTAAATTCTGTATTCGTGCAGAATTTTACTGCAGTTTCTTCTGTTGCTGGCAGAAACCACAAGCTCATATACTGAAATTGAGTTTAAGGCAAAAAATATCACAATTTGTTTATAAAAACCATTGGAACTTGGAATAAAAAAGAGCACACACGAAAAATAGTGGCATTGCTTGACAGTTGGATTGTTATGAGCATGGTTTACAGGAAGATGGGATATACACGTGGTTACCAGAGTTTATGCCATTCTGAAATTGGTGACTTCTTTTAATGTGGTTGCTGTTAATACACAAGTAGGATATTTTGCAATAAAAAACTACTACATTTGTTTCTTGCACATGTGCATATTGGTAATGGTTTATTTCTTGCCACTGCTGAAATGCATCAAATCAATATTCTGGATAAGCAAACTGCAGAAAGCAAGTGTCATTCCTATCTTTATCTTTTTTGTCTTCCTAAATATCATCTTATATTTAAAAAATTGTGGATGTGTGCTTCTAATATTTGAATTCAATGAAAGTTTACATGTTATCAAATTATTCGTAAACAGCATCTTATCTTTAACTTTGGCACTGCGATAAATAAATTACTTAATTTGCTTTCTAAAACAAAATAAATGTTGTACATAAGTTTTGGAAATCATTCGAATATTTTATTGTCTTTAAACATCAGTGATTAGTCATTTAAATACGTTATTCTGTTTTTATGTTGCCACTGAGCTTTCTTTAATGATGAATTAAAGATGATAATCTATTGTTGTTTATCACGTATACTCTTTTCTCTCTAGTCTCTGCTTTTGATCAGAATGTGTATTTTTGTTATTAATCCAAGATGGCTTTCTCAAATAGAAACATTTGCAAATGTAGTACAGCTTTCAAAATTCATACTATTTGATAATTTACATGAAAATATTTTAAAGCATTAATATTCCTATATGAATGGGAATAATTGTACCTAGTGAAATTGAATATGACAAATTGGCAGATAGCAGATCAAAGTATTAACAAAATGGCATCAAATTAGAAATAAAATTGACAATTAATTATTTATTGATATAAATCTATACCATGTAACAAGGGAAATAATATAACACAAATCTACGTGAAAAATACACAAAAGTCATTCAATATATTTACAAAAATGAAGAATATTTTTTAGACACATATACATTTTTTATTCAATAAGCGTATTACAAAAAGTAAAATGCAGGAACTCAAGAAAACACAACCAAAAATAATTTAGAACAACAACCAAAACAAGTTAGATTATTTTAATTTTTTGTTCTAAAACTGACATGTTTATATTGACTCCAAATTCAAAAGAATTCTGCTACTTTGATAACTTAATATGATAGCCTGTTATTGAAAAGCCTTGCAATTTCTTGAAAGGTATATTGTTATTAAAAAAAAAAAAACTTGTAAAATTTTAAAAGAAACTTTTAATATTTGCTTTCAAGGTCATTCAAAATTTCAATGTGATAACATGGCTTATAGATTGCAATAATCTGATCTTGATATTATGGTGCAAAAAGCATTGGTTGCATTGATGGAGGATGTTCAAAACAAAATTTTATTCAAAACACACTGCATTTTGGAAGTCATCAGAGAGAAATATCTGAAAGTAAAAGTTGTTACCCAATCACTTTTCCCTCTTCTTACCTAGCTGAAGCAGGCTTTAGTCACGTCAATACTTTACTGTGGAAAACAAAAAATAATTGGATATTTTTTAAGCTGATTGAAGAACTAAGTTAAGCAGTTTTATGTGAAATAGTAAATATATACAGTCAAAAGTCGTTAATTCGACCACCCATGATCCGGAATGATCTATAATCCGGACCACAAAGCTACAAACTTTCTGCGCATGCGTCGTGTTGATGCGTTTGCGTGTGCACGTAAGACCTTTATGGCTGCGAATATGCGTGTGCGCATGCGCATAATACGTTTACACAAGTGTGTTTAATGTATAAGAGACGGTATAAGCTAAGCTAAAATTATTTAATTCAGTTAATGTTGCAGATTGCATTGTTTCTTAATCTTCGAATTGGATCCGGCTTATTATTTTTGCAGACTGTTAGAGCAATTTATAAAAGTAAGCTTGAACCTTTCAATTATGTCAATAGAATTTCCGATATATATTACTATATGTAAAAGGTCTACAAAGCGAAGTATGTTTCGAAGTCCATTAAACAGAAAGTGGAATTGCTGCAAAAAATGGATAAAGGCATATCCTTTGATGATTTAATCATTCCGAAATATGTTTATCAATTTCACGCTGCTCTACGGGGGGAGAGAAACGATGCGGTGCGCAATGAATTGGAAGTTGATCTGTCAGCACTATCCTTATCTTCAAGGCAGATGTTTTTATTTTATTTGGCTTATAATTCCTTACTAAATGTAGTATTTCATCTCGATATACTCCGTCTTTGATATGTTGCTTCTGATGGTGAAGAAAGTGACACAGAGGTTATTGAAAACGAAAAAATTTCAATTGACAAATTAGGCGGCATTCTCGACACAGCAATTATAGGACTTGAACACCGGAACTTTGTAACTAAGAAGAAATTATGTTTGTTTAATAGAATTAAGAGAGAAAGTTATCACATGAAACGAAGCAACTTAAACAACTTACATGAAAGAAATGTTTAATAAAGTAAACAAATAATAATATTAAGCTTTTCTTTTTGTAAATTTTGATACCCTTAGATCATAATTGTTCTTATTTCATAAATTACAGTTTCATATTTTTAATTTTATAATTTCTGCATGCCATCTTACCAGATTTAAATTGATGATCTATAATCCGGAATCGCCGAAATCCTGACGAGTCCAGATTAACGACTTTTGACTGTATATGTAAAATATAAAAAATACGATGGCTTTGCTCTATGCGAACAGGCAATCTCTATTTAACTTCCCCCCTAGACCAGTACTTTTGAGAACATTCTGGCATGTTACATAATCGCTACTATAAATGTAGAGTTCGTGCCAGTTTTCTTCATTTTGCTTTTCTCCTCCTGTCGTTAAGACCTTTGCTGTTGCTCTGTCCCTTCTTTCCTTTGTTAGAATAGTTATGACGTTGAAAACTTAACTTTAACCTCATTTTAATTAAAATCATTATTGGGTATGTCATTTTAGAGAATCTGAAAGAATAATGGTTTGCTATTTGAATTGAATAAAGATGGGGAATCAAAACAGTTAATCTCTTCTGTGTCATCATTTCATGCCATGCCCGACTGCCACAATATGACATATAAATAAATATATATATATATGATAAAAACAAAAGTAAAGTACAGGAGGAATTTTGATGGTGTAGAAGTGTTGATCCATAATGAACAGGAAATTGGGGGAGAAGGCAGATTTAAATCTTCATTTTTTTATTTCAGCAAACATGTTGTGGCCACAATCAAGTTAGCACATTAATTGTGCCTATTCCAAAAGATTTTACATTTCAGATAAATCTGAAGTAAGACAGAAGCAGACAGCAATCCAGCTAAGCCAAAATGTAGGAAGCAAGTGCATCATGTTCAGGGTGAAATCTTAATTCAGACTGAGTTAGTTTTGGTTCTCAATGCATTTTGATTGGATAGTTATAATATTGCTATAAAATTACTATTAGCTGTTAGAGTTTTAGTTCCATCTACGTCATCAGAATTATGTAAGAGTCATATGGCATGGATTAATCCAGAAATGACGCAGTGCAGAGAGAGGTTACTATTTTTAGAATAGAGACGGAAAATTAATTTATGCTGCTAATTTAACCTTTTACATAATTTTTATTTATATATATGTCAATACATCAAGCTTAGCCATCACATTGACTAAAATTTAACTTTTGTGCAATGAGGATCTGTGATTTTGTTCCTGAAAACTCGTTTATGTTTGTAAAATTAATAATAATACACAAATAATAAAGCATAAATCTAATAAATCATTTTTTTTTCATATTCCACTAATAGTTATCTTTAAAGTTATTTATATTAAATTATTTTGTTGTATGCCATATGTTATACTGAAAAGATAAGTAAGGGGTCAATAAAGAAAACTGTTCTTTAAAAAGGATTTGGTGTGATACAAGAGTTGGAAATCCATGCTTTAAATCAATTTCCTGTTGTCGTAATTAATGATTTGGGTACACTTATCAAGTTAAAACCCTACAACATTTCTTTTTTCTTTTTTTTTCTTTAGATCTTCTATAGTTTAGATGTATATTTTTCATGGAGTATTTCAAGATCAGAAACATCAAAATTTATTTAAAAGAAAAGAAGAAGAATGAGCTTCCCTGCCAGATTGAATGTGTTTTTAAAAAGGCTTTTGGGTCTTTTTAGTTGAGATTATGTAATGCAAAAATAAATAAGTAAATAAAATAAATAAATGTGAAAAAACCCCTAAGCTTTTAATACATACTGTTTGCTATATAGAGCTTTTAAATTGCAGTAATATAACTGCTAAAATAAATTATTTTCTAGTTAAACTAAAACTTATTTTACAACTGTACGTGTTCGGAATTTAATGTGTATGTCATTACTTTTAAATTTACCACATTGAAAAAAAAGTACAGTTTTTGGTGCTTAACTTGCATTTTTAATCTTTTTCTTTTTCAAATCTAACAAAATATATGTCTTTTATTTTCAGTGACAATGCAAAACTTTTAGGTCAAACATTTAGTTTGCTTATCATTCAAGATTTTGAAGCTTTAACACCTAACATTCTTGCCCGACTCATAGAGTGTGTTGAAGGGTGTGGAATGATAATATTTTTAATGTCAAATGTTCACACTCTCAAAGATCTTTATCATTTAAATATGGTAAATATAATTTTATTTTATGTTTACGCATACATAAACAGAAAAGCTGCTCAAATAACATCTCAAAATGCATTTTATTCACATGATTACATTCTTATTGATTGATTAATATTATGCCTCTATTTCCAAAAAATTATGTATGGGAGTTTTTAGAACAGAATCTTCTTTTTAACTTATTTTTAACACATGAATTTAAATATTTAAAAATGCCTATTTATTATATTTTGTGAAAATTTTGTGAAAGTGATCAAAGTAATATGTTAGTTCAATTAAATTAAGACTTTGAGCCAAAGAAAACTCTTATTAAAGTGTTAATTGATTTCACAACAGGATTTTGGACATAAGAGTTATTAATTTTTAAAATGGTTTAATTATCATTATATTTTTGAAATTTCTTTCACTGCTTTTAGTTAGGTAGCAAAATTTGAGCTAAATCATCATTTAATTGACACAAACAGAACCTTTGGCAGCAAACTTACTCAGAATTCTCAAAACTTGCAACTGTTTAATCTGTGAATGCCCATGATATACACTCATTTTTGGATGTGAACAAACAGAATTTCAGGTCTTAGAAAATGCCAGAATGTGAGAAAATTTATTGCACTTTTTTAATGTGTATATGAAAATAAAATTTTCAACAAAATTGTTATAGTTCATTTTTTAAAAAAGTAAATTTGTTTTATTATTCAAGTTATTTACTTTTTCTCAAACTAAATCAGTGTTTTTAAAAATAATCATCATAATAACAAAAAAATAAATAGGGATAGTAAATAACTGTGAATTTCTTTTCAGAAGTTTTTTAAATCTTTATTTTAGGTTCTATATTCTACTGATTTTTAAAAACTTATTTTAAGTTGATGTAATTAAACATGTGTAAACATTTATTTGTCTACTACTTTCCAGACACTAAGCATCAATTTAAATTCATTGTAAAACTTCGTCATTATTAGTATGTTTACTTTTAACATGTTTGTTTTGCTTACACCAGTATAAAGAAAATATGTTCTCAAAAGTAGCAGTTTTAGAGACTTTTCTGTAAAAAATAGAGAATTTGATTTTTAAATTCTTAATTGCTGACAGTGCTATTAATCTCATGGTAAATGCATGGAACATAACCACAGTAGTAGCATACTCATTTAACTGATTCATTTTAAGAAAAAGTGTTATTGTTGAGGTATTTGTGAACAGTGCATTTATTTATGCTGTCATTTAAGAAAGCAAAAAGTATTTTGAAAATTATTTCACTGTTCCATATACAAAGTTCCTTCTTCAGAGAATTTCTTTATCACTTTCTGTGCACTAAGTTTTCCCCTTGCACTGACTTTGTTTTATTTGAGAATCAGCAGTGTATCTCTGCTTTGCATAATTGGCAATATGAACATTAGCTTTAAAAGAATATATATATATATATATTTAATTTTACAAGTCTTTATTTTCATTACTAATCTGTATCATTTTATTCATCAATTTCTTAGGGGAAATTAAAAAATAAAATAAAAATAAAAACAAAGGCTGTTAAAAAAAAATCTGACAACGAATTGCTTGTAAAACAGGAAAAATGAAGCACATCACATTCACTTTGTATACATAGTAAAAAAGTATTAGTTTTGTGTTAAATAATTAATATATTAATATGTTTTAGTTTTTAATTACATGCAAATATGCTATAGAAATTAGAAAGGGGAAAATGTAAACAAAACATAGAAGATTATGATTTGTGCCAAATCTTTAAGAGGTATACAGATTGTTAGAATTCCATTCTAATAATCTGTACTGTACATAAGTATTTATAAGAAAACCATATACTTACTCATGAAAGGTTTAATCACAGCTGGTAAGTTTAGTGCAAAGATTAAGAAATTGTGGAATTGTTTAAAAGAAAAATACAGTTTTCTTAGCCACTCAGTAACAGTGATATTAATAGGAACTGCTGTTTTGCCAATTTAATTTTCTAGCTGATAGAGAAAAAAGTTATCTGGTTTAGTGGTTAGATTAACCATAGAAGCCTAGCCACAGAAGTTTTAGCTACCAGAGTGGAAGAAGGAAAGAGACGAGGAGTCTATATTTTTCAACTTTTTTGCGATATCTAAAAATCTTCAAATCCATGGCTATCGTCATAAAGCTTAGCTTGTCCGCTGGACACTATTAGCAGTGTATCATGAGAATGGCAATTAGAGACTTGTTGTTTGCTAAATTTTCTGTTGCTTCTATTGTGTGTTGAGGAAATTAGGCCATAATTATATTAATTTAGTTATTTATTATACTTACATCTATTTACTGCATAAGTTTAAAGCTTATTTCAGTTCCAAATAAATAAATTTCCACATCTATTAAAGCCTTCAAGGGCTGGTGCTAGGCATTTTGCTGGCCAGTGTAGTCTCTGCATGTCTCAAATTCTGCTGCCAGTCACCTTCCTAAATTCTAAACATTTTGCTGCCCAGAGCAGCTGTACCCCACTGGTACCAGTCTTGGGCTTATGTAAATAACAAATCATTTATTCTTAATTCAAACAGCACTAAATGTAATCTTTTGGCCTATGAGTATGATTTATAAAATCTATTTTTTGTGCATGGAAAAAAAAATTCTGTTGAATTTCTCCTCGTGAACACATTTAATTCACAGTGAAGTTACGTCTGTAATCATCAGTAAGTGTAATATTACCATAGAAGTTTATCATGTTCTTTGGTATGAATGACGAGCAACTTGCAGCCGAGGCAGAATCAATATTCATCTTTATTTCAGTAAGCATTCTGTGGCCAAAACTTGGCAGTCTATTTTGCTAAACAACTTGGCACTCTAATTCTCTTTTTGTATTTTACATATTGTTCCAATATATAAAGTATAACAACTTGGCACTCTAATTCTCTTTTTGTATTTTACATATTGTTCCAATATATAAAGTATAAAATATGAGAATCTTAATAAGCAATAAACCTTTAAACTTCTAATTTTCAATTAAAGTAGAACTTTTTCAAAACATCTGCATTTTCCCTTCAGTAACCACATCGGACAAACTCTTGCTCAATCACTTTGCGGGATTAAAACAAAGCGCTCTGAGATTATAAATACTCTCTTTTGTTGCTTAGTAGTAATAATAATGTATTTATTACTATTATTATATAATATTGTATTTCTAATTGAAACAGAGTTTTGAATTTTTCAATTACTTAAAAAGTTCTTAAACTTTATTAAAAGTTATGAATATATGTATTATTGTGCATGCCATTATATTACAGTAAATAGTAACATATTGAAAGTGCAGCTTTTTTCATGTTGAACTTTTTCTGTATGTTAATATATTTTCTTTCCTTGAGCCACATATTCTTGGCAATAAATTTATTTTTTCTATTTGAAATCAAATCTCATATTTTTAACATGAAATTTTATTTTTTTTTAGCATTTTTGAAATATCAGAAAACAGAATGAAAAATAGTTCTAGATTTTTAATGTTTGAATATTAATATACTTTCATAATTTAAAATTTGATCAAAAGGCTTGAAAAATATAATCAGTTTGCATTTTGGCATAATAATCAGTGTTGTTCAAAATTATCAATATGGTGAAATTTATTATTGTTTTTGTGTTTTAGGAAGCTCATTCTCGTTATGTTACCGAAGCTCATCCAAATATATCACCTAGGTTCAATAAGCGTTTTGCATTATTTTTGACCTCATGTAGACCTTGTCTTGGGCTTGACGATAATTTGAAGATCATTTTTGCACCTTCAGACTGTTTAGAAACATTGGTATTAAAATTAACTATTTTATAAATTTGGGAAATATAATACACAAGAAATATTTTAGCCATTTGAAGTAAATTTTTAAAAAATTTAGTTACTTCTATCGAGAAATAGTTTTAGTTGTGTGCATCAAATTGTAGGTGTTTTCCATTTCATATGTTAATCCAATAAAAAATCAAAAACATATGATAAACAGCTATGCTATAGATTATGTTATGCCATTTAGCTTAAGATTTGCTATATGCAGACTTATTGGCCTGGGTTAAAAGTGTAATGTTAGACATGAATAGCCAGATTGCAGTCCTCTTAAGAACATATACAAAGAGGGGGGGAAGTTGATTTATTCAGTTTTTAGATTATGGCTGTGAGAAACTAATAAGCAGTTATAGGAGGATAAGTAGTACTGAGGATGTCTGCTTGACTTCTTCAGATAGATATAAATGGATCTGCCATGAAGGCATTTATTGGCAATATTTTCAGTACAATTTGTGATATAAAAGTGACTGTGCAGTCTACCAGAGAAAATTTTTCCTAGAAGAAACTGAGCATTCTGATCTTATATAATGCAATGCATTATGTAAAAACATCCAAAGATATGGTCTGTAGTTTTAATTTGCTTGATGAACTCAAGAAGTGTTTGTTCCCTTTGATTTTGGCCTAGCAGTGACTGATGGAATAAGATTGTGAAACACTTATAGTTCAGCTTTAGTTTAGCTACCTAATTGCATGCTTTATCTTTCCTTTTCTTTACACAAAACGTAACTTGGATGTGTGTTAGTTTCCTGTTGAAAGTCCTATGTGGAGGTAGTTTACTCTGTATAGTTGTGGATCTACTAGTTAATTCAACATCTGTCTCTTTTATGATATTATATAAAATCTATATTGCAGGGCCATCATATGAGCATTGATCACTTAATATAGTATAAACAGGACATCTACAACAAATTCTAGGTTTCATTGCAGCAAATACTTAAAAAAATGGGGGTGTATGGTATTTACTATTTTTTAATAGGTGTAATACATTTAGGCTCTAGTATCTTAGTGGAATTGCTATTGGGCCCTAGTCTAAGCTTTAAAACTCATTAATCCACAATATCACTGCAGGCAGACTATGTAATATTTTTACCTTCTTTAATATGGAATTGCTTCTTATTACATCCTTATTAAAAGACATTTTTAATCCTTAGTTTTTGTTGAATTAAAAGGCATTCAAAAGATGAATTTATTGCCTTTAACTCTGAATATTTTTAGGGATATGGTTGTCTCTCACTTTACAGCAAAGGTTACCAAAGTGCAGATCAGAAGACAATTTTTAGTGGGTTAAAAAATTTGGAAATGTATTGATATCTAGTGTATCTAAATCTATTAATACTGCTTATTCTGATTTTGAATTTTAGGATGTTTTGTTTGCTTTAATATTCTTTTTTAAATTACTCTGCAGTATTACGCTTTTCATATTCTTTGAGGTTTTCTTATTTTCATCTTTGTTCATTTCCAATACAGTTTTCATTTACTGATTAATACTGAATAAAAATTTCGTAATTCTCAAATATTTTCCTTGTAAATTATTGTAAATCAGAATAAAGCCCATCTTCAAACAGAGCTTGTTTCTCAAATGATGACATTATATTTTTGTAGAGTAAAAAATCAGTTTGTAAAAAGTCTCATTTATCAAGAACTTTAATCAGACATAATATGCAATAAAAATTTATCTTTATTTCAAGACTTCAGATATGCATACTACTCCTCAACAGCCAGTCTCTGCACTTTTCCAAAACTTCTCCTTATTATGTCCGTATTTATCATCAGCAATGCAAGCACAAGGTGCACTCCTTATCACTATCACCACAAGTTACATATGCAGGTAGGAGATTGTTAAACTGTTGTCGTAGAGTGAGACATTTTCCCCCTTGATTCATAAATGATTTTAATTTTATAATCACATTAATTTCTTTTTCCAAAAGTTTTAAAAAGTAATATCAATTTGTCGTGTTTCAAAATTTTTGGAAAGTTCCATTTTGACCTGTTTAGCATGAAATCTTTCAAGCAGAATATATTTTGAAATCTGTTGATCTAATAGCTATTGAAATGATGTCATAAGTTGGAAAAAAAAGTCTTTTTAATAAAATGTATTTATGCATTTAAAATAGGCCAAGGGGAGGGAAAAAACAGCCATAGACATTCATGTTTAGTAAAATTCTGTTGATTACAAGCACAGCCATGCACAGGTCTCTCTTTTTCAGAAAATAGAAATTAAAAATTCTTGCTTTCTTTTTTATTTTATATTGGTCCATTTCTCTTTAATTTGTTACCTTATAATTTAAATAAGTTGTTGAGATAACATGGGCATAACTAGAATCAAAGGTTCTTTTAACCTTCAGAATTTCTTACAAGATGGACTTCAGTCATCTGTTGTAGGTTAGCTATATCAAATACGATATGGGGATGACATACCGATAGCAGCCCACCATATTATATTTATTGCACTAAAATGGAACTTTTATTCGAAGTTTTCAAAGTGAATAAATAATGTTAGACTCCTGTGCAAATTTCCTGAATGTAATCTCTTGAGTGTTAACCTTATTGTTATGAGTATCATCTACTACTTTTCAAATGTAAATCATGCAGTGCTAGTCATCATATCATTTAGGACCGAAATGTTTCAAATGAGTTTTAGCTTTTATATATAAGTATAGAACTAGTGATTATTTGAGAAGTCAAGCAATAGCAATCAGCAGTATATTTGTAAATTTTGCAGGACTAGTTTCAAAGGTTTAACTACAGAACTAACTGCCTCAGCTGCCTCAGTGCAAATGAATGAGATAAGATGAGATGATAAGATAAAATAAGCTGAACAGAAAATAAGCTACTGGTGCTATCTATTAATGAAACAAGAAAACTAAAACATAATTTCCTTAAGGGCTGAAGGTAAAGATGGATTGGAATTAGGGTCGTTAATTAGAACAGAAAGTTTTTTTGAACGTGAAATGCCTTTAGAAAGTCTAATTCACCAATAGAAGATGTTTTTAAATAATTTTGGCTGCAGAAAAATGGAAAGTTTTTTTTTTTGGACTAGTAGTGATGGTCAACAAAAGAATTTTGTGTTTCCTTTTTCCTAACACATGCCTCATGTTCTTTAATGCAAAAGTTTAAGGCTCTCTTAGTTTGACCAATGTAAATTAAACCACATTGGCAAGGAATCCTGTAAATACTCCAGGAATTCATATCTGGAATGGGGTCCTTAAGTATGGAACTGGGAGTTTTATTCATGGGAGAAAAAAATGACTCAGAAGTTAAATTTCTGTAAAATACATGCAATTTTATAGCTAGTTGAAAAGAAAAGGACAACAGAATTCTTATGATCTCCTAAAATGGGAGTGCACCTTTTGATGTGTTGAGATGATAATTTTTTAACTGCTTGATTAATAATATTGGGTGAAAAGCCCCTGTCAATAGCTATTGCTTTTAAATAATTTAGTTCTTCATCAAGGGATAGTTTGGAGGAGCAAACTTAAAGAGCATGGAAAATAAAGGAATAAAATGAAGATAACTTCTGTTTAGTCGGATAACATCATTTGCAATGTGGTGGAAGGCATGTTATGTTAATCTAGACATCCTATATATACTAATATACATTGATTTTTTGAATTTTAAAAGTTTCTGCTTTATTGATGTTTAAAAATAATTTTAATAAATATAATCCTTCTTAGCCATCTTTAACTGGCAGCAATGGGACTACTCTAATTCTAGATGAGATCTTTCTGGATAAATGAATGTATATTTGTAGAAATTTCTTGTTAATTTTTTGTGATGCCATCTGTAGAAACTGCGGCATGCAATGTCTGTTGGCTGTGTTTTTGATTGTTTGGCTGCAATTAATTAAATAGTATATAAAATCATACAGATTATTCAAAATTAAAACACATAATATGATTTTAGATTTCATAAAAACAAAATTAAATAACATTTTAACACTAGCATATTTAATATTACATGAAAGTTACAAATTTCTTAGTACAGTCAAAAGTCGTTAATTCGGACACCCATAAACCGGAATGATCTATAATCCGGACTTCAAAGCTACAAACTTTCTGCGCATGCGTCGCGTTGACGCATGCGCATAGGCGTTTACGCGTGAGACCTTTACGGCTGCAAATATGCGTGTGCGCATGCGCATAATACGTTTACGCATGCGCGTTTAATGTATAACGGACGGTATAAGCTAAGTTAAATTACTAATTCAGTTAATGTTGCAGATTGCGTTGTTCCTTAATCTTCGAATTGGATCCGGCTTATTATTTTTTGCAGACTGTTGGAGCAATTTTATAAAAGTAAGCTTGAACTTTCGATTATCTCAAACAGAATTTCCGATATATATTTACTAAATACGTAAAGGATCTACAAAGCAAAAGTATGTTTCGAAGTCCACTAAAAAAAAAGTGAAATTGCTGCAAAAAATGGATAAAGGCATATCCTTCGTTTCTCTAACCATTCCGAAATCTGTTTATCAATTTCGCGCTGCTCTGCGGGGGGAGGGAAACGACGCGGTGCGCAATGAATTGGAAGTTGATCTGTCAGCACTATCCTTATCTTCAGGGCAGATGTTTTTATTTTATTTGGCTTATAATTCCGTACTAAATGTATTATTTCATCTCGGTGTACTCCGTCTTTGATATGATTTAAATCAAATTCCTCCTCATTATAATTCGCTTCTGATAGTGAAGAAAGTGACACAGAGGTTATTGAAAACGAAAAAACTTCGATTGACAAATTAGTCGGTATTCTCGACACAGCAATTATAGGACTTGAACAGCGGAACTTTGTAACTAAGCAAGAAATTATGTTTGTTTAATAGAATTAAAGAGAAAGTATTATCACATGAAACGAAGCAACTTAAACAAGTTACATTGAAAGAAATGTTTAATAAAGTAAACAAATAAATATTAAGCTTTTTCTTTTTGTAAATTTTGATACCCTTTAGATCATAATTGTTCTTTATTTCCTAAATTACGGTTTCATATTTTTAATTTTATAATTTCTGCGTGCCATCTTACCAGATTTAAACTGATGATCTATAATCTGGAAAAATCGATAATCCCGAATCGCCGAAGTCCCGACGAGTCCGGATTAACGACTTTTGAATGTATCATAATTTTCATGAGATAATTAAAATTATACTTTTAAAAGTATGTATAGCATAGTAAATACGCTTAGCATAATAATATAGTAATATAATAAACTAAGCAATGCTAGGCATTCAAATGTCTGCATGCTCGCATGATTGTCGCCATGATTTTAAAGATTCTCTGAGTATACAATGGAGCTTCATAACATCATCGGCAGACTCTGATGAACATTTATCAGCAAATCTTATGAAAGTCTGCAATATTTCATCAGCTTCTATGTATATAACTTTCTTGCTGTGCATGTTTATCTTCATCCTCACCTTCTCCTCATCATCTTTTTCTTTCCGGGTATATGTCAGCTTATTTTGAAGTTTTCATTTCTGTTTGAAGTTTTGGGCATTTCTGTTTGATTGTTAAACAAAGAAGTAATTAATGTATCTTTACAGTATTTGTGTATTTTGCTTATAAGCTGCAAAGTATGAAAATGAAAAGTTATGCAGTAATTATCTTGAGATATTAAAAATAAAAATGCATTTAGCTTTGATTTTAGTTTAGATAAAAGTTTTAAATTTTTAGGAGCAGTAGATGTAATTATGTAAGTGCTCATTATTTGAAAAAAAGATTAGCAGCCAACTTCTACGATAAATATTTTTGGTAATATTAATTTTTCTCATTGCCTTTTTTATTCTAGCTGTTTAGTACTTTTAAAATTATTTGGACATATATATCTTATTTCATTATGTAAATTATATATGCATCTATGCATTAAGCTGTAAGAATTCAACCTGCATTTCATTTGATTAACATGTTTGAAAATCTATATCTGGATTTTTTTTTTTACAGTAGTTTTGATGTTTACAGTTTGATTGCTTCTTTATTGAAAACATATAAATGTTTTTTAAACAATATACAGGGTAGAAATTTTATTAAGAGAGTGAAAATAATTTTTTTCTTATGTTTTATAAATACTTTAAAATATTCATTTTGGCATTTTTTTTTTTTTTTTTTTTTTTTTTTTTCCAGAGAGATGTTAAATTACCCAAGTCTGAATCACAGTGTGTGCTGAATCAATCATTTGATTGTTTTAGCAAAGTCTTTTCTGTGTGTTGTACAAAAGATCAAATTAATGCATTAACAAAATTCGCAGAAACGCTCAAAGAAAGGTTTATACATACAGTAGTGTCTTTGACCTCTGCTAGAGGGCGTGGCAAATCAGCAACTTTGGGTTTAGCTGTTGCCATTGCTTTGTATTTAAAATACTCAAATATATATGTAACCTCACCACATCTTGAAAATCTGCAGACTTTGTTTTCCTTCTTAATTAAAGGACTGCAAGAGCTTGGCTTTAAAGTATGTATATTTTTGTAGACTATGTGTGAAACAATATAATTTACTGAAAAATTTTTCTCTCCATTCATTATTTATTTAAACATATTATATCATTTGAAGTTTTTAATAAATTATTTGCAACAAAGTCTTTTATTAGTTGATAATGTTGTATATACTTTAATGTATTCAAGACAGGTACAACCAGGGTACTGCTACTTGCAATTTCATGTTTGATCTGGTACTTTTGTTATAAATTTTTAGTGGTTTAATACACTTACCAAGTGATATGGTGATTGCTTTCTTCCTGCTTCTAAATAATAAATATAACAGAGAATATAATAATAACATGAGAATTAGACACAGGTACATACCTTAACCTGAAAGTATTAGAAGATGATAATGAATAAGCCATAACAGTTTAACTGCATTACAAAATCCCTGGTATCTATAATTTAAAAATTTTTTTTTTCTTCTTAGAGTTTTAACTTACCAACAACACTAAATAAATTTGAATTAACAAGGCAACAAAATTCTGATGAATTTGTAACAGAGCTAAGCACCAAGCTCATATTGCTTGAACTTGTGTTAGCAACACGGAAATTGTTGTTATATTACCCTTTCATGCTGGCCACAGATAAATTTTAATATGATGAATGTTGGTCTCAAATCAACGAAGTTTATATAATTATAGATGATTATAATATTTATTATATGCTGTGTTTTGAGCTGAGTGGCCCCACCAGTGGCTGATTAGTCAAGCCTGCTGAATGCCAGTACTTCGCGCAAGTTTTAAACCCAGGAAAATGGGCTTGACTGCATGGTTGGTTTTCACGGTTTTCCCATGTGTAGTGTGAATATGAGCCACTTTCTTTTAAAATGTCCTCCTTTCCCTTAGGCAGATAGCCCTCATGGTCTTTGAAAGTAGTCTAATAATAACCATTAAAGTTGGATGAAGGCGACTAGAGCATGGCAGAATATATGTATTATTTATTAATTTTGAATTATTATTTCAACTTTGCATACTATGATTAAACCAAGGTAATGAGCATCTCCTTCACATTCTAATTTCATCAGTAGCTAATTAAATGATACAAATGCATTTTATAAAATCAGCATCAACTCAATAGATAGATCTAGCTAGTTATTGCCAGTTCTTAATTTATTATTGGCTATTCTTGAAAAATATATTTAGCTGTGAAACGAAGCCTTTTCATGCATGAGTTTCTATAACTTTCAATTTCCAGAGATATGAGATACTTTGAAGTGAAATGTTTGACTGTGCATTGAGCTTAGTGGTTTAATGTTTTCACTGTATAAATTTCAAAGATCAGTATTAAAAAGTTTAGCAATTTTGAATTCTGAAATATGTAAATCAGACTGTTTTTGCAGAATAAATGCTTTATGCTTTAAATTTCCTAATGTTATTGAAGAAGAAAACTATGAAGATGTTGATAAAGAATAGCAACTATTGAAGATTATAAGAAGCGCTGAAGGAAGGTCAGAGATATTGAGAATGAAAATTTTATATGAAAAAATGCTACTATGTTGAATGTTAATGAAAAAATGTTTCCTAATTTAATAACATTAATTAAAGCTCTGTTATATCGCCTTCATTCACGATCTTTACAGAAGACTGTCTCCAGCAAATGTTTAGAAACCATTTGCAATAAGAGTAAAATCTGAAAACAACTACACCTTTTTCCATTGAATCCTTTGGGGAGGGGAAATAAATAAAAATTTCTTCAGCTTCAGATTTTATTGTTTCTAAAAATGAATTAATTAAGCAAAATCTGCAAAAATTGTAAGTAAATATTGCACTGTTTTTCTCCTGCAGAAAAATTTATGTAAATAGCATTTTAAATTATTGAATATCTGATGTTATATTAGTTAAAGCATTAAAAATGAATATAAATTACTAGAACTATGGAGGAAATTCTGTTATAATAATTGACAAATGCAGTTTATGGGTTTACAGATGACTGAAGTGAGGTGACCTTTAACGCTCCAAGCACTCATATTTTTTAAACATACGTTAGTATAGCAGTTTTACATTGAGCTCATCTGCTATTATCAAATAGTGATATCGTAAACTTTTCCATGTAGAAAAATAAAAACAAACAGCTTATTTTTTCCCTAGACTGGCACTTTTTCTTTTCCTTCAGTGAGTATGAAATATTTTTTGCTCTATGATCATCGTAGATGTAGCAAAATACTTTAATAGATAGAAAAGAAATAATTAATATTGAATTGTTTTATTAAATTAGTATGTATTAATTTAATTAATTGTTAAATAAAGTAATATCATCTGAATCTCACTCTGAATTGCTTAGATTTTTTTAAAATTATTATTATTGATTTTTTAGTTAATTTTGAGATATGATATAGGATAAAATGTATAATTATAAGAATAATAAATGGTTTTGGAATTTAAAACTTATAGTGGCTTATAATATTATGTCCATTATATATACTTCATGGGAAAGGCAACCACTTTTAACTATTCTAAAAGGACAGCTATATGTTGAAAAATAGTACATTACATTCTATGTGTAATAGGTACAATGTTGGGACTAATTAATCAGATGGTGCAGCTATTGCACAATCAGAACTTTCCAGATGTTATTTTCCCATAGAGTAATAAATATTACACATAGCTAATATCAGCAGATATGGAATGAATTTAGAAATTTGGTCACTATCATATTATCTACAGAAATTGAGTGCTTAAAGAATCAGTCCTCACCTTGTTAATAAATTGTAAATATATGAATGTAATAGGAATACTAAATGGTAGGCTCATTTAATTAGCAGTATTAATGATCTATACAATTTGAGCATTTCTGTGTGTTTGCCGCAATATGGTGGTATGCTGTAGTTAACGATTTGCCACTGGCTGTGCTACTTGTATCTTGTATGTTCAGGTACCAAACATTTAGAATTGAAGAACTGGGTCAACAGTCAGGTAAATCTGATTCCTGTGATATCAGATTTATCCAATTGTTGCATCTGGCCCCTCAATTACGTGAAATTAAAATCATATTTTCAGAATGTATCTTTGTCTCTCTAAACCAAGTTTTATGTAATTTAAGGAATTTTTTCTGTGGAGAATTGCATACTGTACTGTTTATACTAAAGTCTTCAAAATGTATGTATTTCTTAAAATGGATTAGATTGTTGTAACGATTATGTATTTTAAAGTTGGTAATATATGTTTTCATGTGTTTATATATCTTTCCAAGTTGCCTACATTACCCATCAAAAAATTTTTAATCTATAAATTTCAACCATATTGCTGACTTTCAAACTAGTATATGTTGACTTTTTCCTTTGATGTACCATAACATTTGGTGATCTTCATGGCCGGTCTTTCTTAAGCAGTTCCATTATTGGATGCATGAAAATACATAATATAATATCAGAGATGTTTGATGAGACAATTCACAGATGTTGAGAAATTTGCTTAAATTGATTCTTTATAAAAAAAAATAAGTTTATTTAAAGTGAAGAAAAAATGATATCAAATATCTGGTTTTAATTTTGAAGTTAAATATTTTTTGTTTTTGTTTTAGAAGGGAGAATCTTTTATTTAGTAATATTTTTAAAATATCAGTAAAAAAGTATAAAGTAAAATTTTTGCATAATCATTGTTCAATCCAGTATTTTCTTTACTATAACAAATTTTCAATAAATTAAAATTAAATAATTTACTGTTAAAATATATTTTATTTACATGATCAGTGTGAATGATATATATATATATATATATATATATATAGTTTATAGATTTCTCTGTTTGTGAGAAATAGTTATTTGTGATTTTTCTTTAAATGTTACTGATTTTTTTCCTCAGGAAGGTGCTGATTATCAAATTCAATCTAGTCAGTTGGAGAATGCGAGGTTTATTAATGGAATTAAAATCTTTAGAATTTATCCAGGAGCTGTTCGTTATTTACCTCCAACAGATTTTTGCAAATTAGGTAATGCTGAATTAATAGTTATTGATGAAGCAGCTGCTATTCCTCTACCTGTTGTTAAAGAATGGTTGGGCTTTTGTACAGTTTTTATGGCATCTACAATAAACGGGTTTGTACATGTTTCTAAATTTTTATTATGTTCATATTTCAAAAGAATATTTTTCTGAATAATCAATCACTGTGTAACAGTTATAATATTTTTATAACATTACTTCTAGTAACATAGTTATTCTGCAAGTTTAAAAATATTTACTTGAATTACTGAAAAAACGGGAGACTTTACTGCTGATAAAAAAAAGTGGCATTTTAAACTGTGAAAAATATCAGTGGAACAATAAGAAATATTTGTTTGGTTTCTTATTGACCTTTATGGCATCATATATTCTTTTCATATATCTAAACTTCTTAGCTGTTTTAAAATTTAGAGAATAATGAAGAGATGATGAAGAAAAAAGTTAAAATACAAAACTTACACCATACTGTTAAAGCTTTTTCTTGCATTTTTATACATTATCTGTGTTTAAAAAGCATAAAGTAGGTAGAAATCCAATATTTATCTCGTTAAGGAGCAAACGGGTGAACTATGTGACCCTTCTGCTTATCTTAAACTTCCAAGGAATCAAAGCTTTGTAATGGTGAAACTCCTCAAATTTGATTCATCATATATAAGTAAAGCATTTTAACTTCAGTTTGAAATTGTAATGGAAAAAAGTGTCTTCTAAACTGTAGCCTTTTTTTTTTTTTTTTTTTTTTTTTTTTTTTTTTTTTTTAAATTAGAATCTGAGATTTAGGGTAAATGTGTTGGAAAGTAGTTGCACAGATAAACTCATAACCACTCATATTCAGTCTGTCATATATAAATAAAGCATTTAAACATCAGTCTAAAATCATAATGTTGAATGATGCCGTTTAGAAAAATAGCCTACATCCTTTTTTTTTTTTTTTTTTTTTTTTCTTTCTTTAAGAGTTAGTTTGATATTTAATGTAACATGTTGAAAAGTAGTTGAACTAAGTAACGCTTAAATTTATCAGCTGATTGCCTCCAGGAGAAAAGGGAATTATCTTTTTTTGAGAAAAAGGCTGACATTTTATTTTATCTCTGCTTTTAAGAAAGCTGTTCCAATTTGATTTCTGCTGATCATTGTCTTCATGATCAGCAGAAATATGGAGAGGAGAATAAGTATATTAGACTATTAAAGGATTCTTTGTAACTTCCGTATAGGCCATTATACTGGTAGAAGTTGATGAATTTAGAATTGTACAAATATGAGTTGATTGTAGTACGTTAAGTGCTGATATTAAAATGAAAGGAGGCACTTGCTGAAACATTCAAGAATTAATTCTGTATTGATTTTTGGGTTCATGAAAAGTTTCACACAAGTCATTAATTCTTCAGTTTTGCTACTGCTTGTTTCATGTAATACACTCTAAATGATAGCATTCCTAATTGCAATTTCTGAATTTCGTGAATAAAATATATTTCAGAGGGTATTTTTCATTGTTATATTCAGAACTGCAAATTAAAAAAAGCTATTATATCTGGCAAAGTGTCTAGATGAGACAACAGCTTAAATGACCATTGAAGGAATTTTGTACAAAACATTACACATGTAGATCCTGGAGTATTCTGATTTAATTACCAAAAACATTGAAAACTATTTTTATTTTTCATATGTATTTTTTTATTATGAATTTGCTCTATCATTTAAATTAATCTTATTAAATTATTACTACAGAATATGCCATATAATTTGCAGGAAATAATTTGTTTGATTTCAGCAGCAATTTTAGCTGTGAATTCTTTTTCTTCCTAAAGCATTTATTGAAATTTTAAGGAAATAAAATATAATAATTTTAACATTAAATTAAAACCAGAGTTAATCTGATTGAAATATTTTTATAAAATAATGTCTTAATGCACCAAAATACAAGCAAAAGAGTCAGTCCACATTATTTTAGCGGAATCTTTTCTTACCAACATTTGCATTATTTTTTGATTTTGTAAATGCTGCCAAGCAAAGCATAAAACTAATTTCTAGGTGCATATTATTTGCACCATATTAAAACAGAAATCTGCTTTTCTTTCTTTTTTTGTCTCTTTTCATTCACATTAGTTTATATGTTGTATAGATAGATAGAGAGAAAGATGTATATTCCATGAAATGGATATTTGAGAATTATAATGTAGGTGATAAAGCTTGATTTATCTGAAAACTGTAATTTTGGAAATTTGTGACTTTGGTGTACAGTATATTTTTGTATGCTTCCACCCCAGATCCTTGTTTAATATATAATAAAAAATAATGAACATGTATTTTGTTGAATAAACATAAATTTTTTGTTATATAAAATCATGTAATTATAGTAATTATTAATTCATGCTTTTGATAGGTATGAAGGGACTGGTAGGTCACTATCCCTCAAACTGTTGAGTCAGCTAAGAAACCAGTGTACCTCTAGTGTATCTTCTGAAAAGGGACCATTGTCTTCAAATGAAAAAGGTAGCATAAAATGAAATCTGTTCTGAATAATTTTTCCTTTCATTTAATTATAAGAGGATTAAGTAAGTTCTCCATTTCATAGTATTTTAAAACCATTATCTTCTATAAATGTGTATGTTTGTAACTGCATGTATTTTTGTGCATCTTAATTCTATTAAAAATTTTCAGTCATTACTTTTAAGTAATTAATTTAATATCCTGCTGAAATAAAAATGCATTGTAATGATATAAATTGCTTCTTTTAGGTAGCAAGTACCTTAGAAAATATAAAATAAAATGAAGATGTCACTTTTTTCATTATACTATGTTACTTTAATATTTGGTTATTAGGTACACATGTAATACAAAATTCTTCTGATTTAACTTACTTGAAAATTTTGGGCTATTCGAATATCAGAAATTTCCGAAAATTATGCTGGTGATGTTTTGCATATCAGGCATTTTAAGTGGCATTAACACCTTGAAAGATTGTTACACCTTAGAGAGAATCTTATGCATGGAGCACATTTTGCCAAAATTAAAATTTAGAATCTAAAATGAAACTGTTATTACTTTGCTTATTATTTTAACCACTTGGCCATTTATAATTATAAAAGATGAATATTTTTGTTTTTTTATTTTAATTTTGTATCCACATCATTTCACTTTTTATTAGCGTTATAAAAGATAATCCTGAAATTTGCTTATGTATGATCATGGAATGATCAGTATGGAGCATATATGTAAGTCACCTGCAAAAAAGCATCCGTTGTAGATGGTAAAAAAGGAATTACCAGAGCCATTGTGAAACATTCTTAAAATTTTATTTGCTTACAGTCTTCCTCATAAAAGAATTAAGTATGAACCATCAAAGAAAATTATATCAGTATGACCAGGCTTCAAGCATTGAGCAAGGAAGAATTTAGGTTTCAAAAAGCTGCAATTTTTTTTTTCCCAAAATGGTTAATGGGTAGACAAAATTAGATTACAATGACTAAAGACTATGGTTATTACTAAAATGAAAAACAGACTGAAGAGGGATAAATCCCCTAATATGATGCACTAATTTTCTTACCAGTATATTGGTGGTTAGACAAGATCACAATGAATCGCCACTAAGGGCCGAGGTTATAAATAAAATGAAAGATAGGTTGAAGAGGGATAAATATAGTGCACTAATTTCCTTAACAATCTGTTGGTGGTTGGGCAAAATCAAATCAAAAACTAAAATACTATTAAAGACTATGATGCTAATGGGTTGAGGAGGGATTAGTTCTTTAATATGAGTTATTGCAATGACCTTAGTATACTGACAAAGAGGAAAATAGGTATCTGGTACAATATAACTAATGATTATATAATCATATTAGATATCTTACCTGAAAAATTAATCTTTGGCCCAACAGTCATTGAGCATATGTGTGATGAGATTTCAACATGAGGGCAGATTCTCAAGCTAGAGATTGCTTTCTGTTAGTAGAAGTACAGTCAAAAGTTGTTAATCCAGACACCCATAATCCGGAATGATCTATAATCCGGACCTCAAAGCTACAAACTTTCTGTGCATGCGTCAACGCATGCGCATATGCGTGTGCGCATGTGCATAATATGTTTATGCATGAGTGTTTAATGTATAACAGATGGTATAAGGTAAGCTAAAATTATCTAATTATCTATTTCAGTTAATGTTGCAGATTGCGTTGTTCCTTAATCTTCAAATTGGATCCGGCTTATTATTTTTTGCAGACTGTTAGAGCAATTTTATAAAAGTAAGCTTGAACTTTCGATTATGTCAAATAGAATTTCCGATGCTGGAGCTTTCCAATGAGGATCTACAAAGCGAAAGTATGTTTCGATGTCTATCAACAGGGTTCGTATGGTCCTTAAGAGTCCTTTAAAGTCCTTAATTTTTTTGGAATCAATTTTTGGTCCTTAAAAGTCCTTACTTTCGGCCAAAATCGGCAGAAGGTCCTTAATTTTAATCATTTGAAATTTCTGTCTGTTTTTTCGATTGCCATTTTGAGTGTGAATCAGCATTTTGGAGGAATATTTTTCACAATTCGCTGACAAATATCATTATCTTTTGAATGGGTGAATGCGTTCATTGGTCATAAATTGTTCCTATTTCTAATATAAATGGTGGGATAGAGTTTCTGAGCAAGTGCAACGCAAGCATTTCAAAATTATTTCATTTTTTCTAGTGAAGAGCTCTTAAACAAATTTTGGCTTCTGGGGATGTGAATTCTTTTATTAAATTGCTCTAAATTTGGTGACTTAGCACATTTTGGCGATTTTAAGATCAATTTCTATAGAAAATTTTTAATTCCGAGATCTGGGAATTTTTCGACGATTTTTTTAGAACATTGTAACATTGATAAATTTCATTAAAATAATGGTAATATATTGTAATTACATTTAAGAAATAACATTAGAATAAAGCATTTTTATTTTTTGCTGTTGTATTATAAAGTTCCATTTTGGCCACTTATTATACAATATTTTGAATCTTAAAAATAAGCAAGGTATAAATGCTATAAAGCACAATTTATGAAACAGTTCTTAGAAAAAGCAAAATAGCTATGTAATTAATTAAAAATGTCTTTAATTTTTTCATGGTAAGAGTTTTCTCATGTAATTGTCTCAGAATTTTCAGAATATGCGTCAGTTTTCTCTATAAAATTAATTTTACAGCTTTTTCGTTCGGTATATATATATATACAGTCAAAAGTCTTTAATCTGGACTCGTAGGGACTTCGGCGATTCCGGATTATTGGTTTTTCTGAATTATAGATCATCAGTTTAAATCTGGTAAGATGGCATGCAGAAATTATAAAATTAAAAATATGAAATGATAATTTATGAAATAAAGAGCAATTATGATCTAAAGGGTATCAAAATTTACAAAAAAAAAGCTTAATATTTATTTGTTTACTTTATTAAACATATCTTTCAACACACGCATGCGTAAAGCATACATTACGCATAGTCGAAATTAGAAAATTTCAACCAAAAAACTATTTGATGTGTATTTGTGATATTTATAATGACAAGGAATTTGATTTAAATCATATCAAAGATGGAGTACATCAAGATGAAATGCTACATTTAGTAAGGAATTATAAGCCGAATAAAATAAAAACATCTGCCCTGAAGATAAGGATAGTGCTGACAGATCAACTTCCAATTCATTGCGTGCCGCGACTCCCCCCCCCCCCCGGCAGAGCAGCGTGAAATTGATAAAACAGATTTTGGAATGGTTAGAGAAACAAAGGATATGCCTTTATCCACTTTTTGTTTGATCGACATCGAAACATGCTTTCGTTTCGTAGATCCTTTGGCAGCTCCATAATCGGAAATTCTTTTTGACATAATCGAAAGTTCCAGCTTTTATAAAATTGCTCTAACGGTCTGCAAAAAATAATAAGCCAGATCCAATTCAAAGATTAAGGAACAACACAATCTGTAACATTAACTGAAATAGATAGTTAGATAATTTTAGCTTAGCTTATACCGTCCGTTATACATTAAAGGCGCATGCATAAATGTATTATGCGCAAGCGTAAATGCATATGTGCATGCATAAAGGTATTATGCACATGCGTCAATGCATTATGCGTTGACGCATGCGCAGAAAGTTTGAGCTTTGAGGTCCGGATTATAGATCATTCCGGATTATGGACGTCCGGATTAAAGACTTTTGACTGTATATATATATATATATATATATATTATATATAATTATATTACTTAATATATGGATAATAATATTTTTTTCTTAAAAATATTTTAGGTCTTTTTGCTATTACCGAATTGGTAGGGGTAATTTTTCTTTAGGATTTTAGACGTTGCAGCTTGGAAAGTTTAGAAAGATTTGAAGGCAAGATTTGTGGAAGATTCCAGAAAAATGTGGTAAAATGGAACATTGAGAAATGTCTCCATGGTATTAATCCATAATTTCTTACTTTTTGGAGAACGTTTGGAAGAACAATGAAAACACAATTGTTGAATGTCTCTTCTTTTCACTAGACACAAGCATAAAATATCAAAAATGTTTCTAATCTTATCATATGGACAGGCATTATAGAAAAGAATTTTTTTATTAATAAAAAAATTGAAAACTGACAATTTAAACGATTCATCTAACATGTCTTAATGCGTCATATACAGGGCATTTTCCCACCTGATACAATCTCTGTGGATCGTAAATTCTGCTGCCTGGTGCCTTTCTAAATTCTGCTTCCAATGCCTGTTCTAAATTCTAAAATTTTGATGTTTCTAGATTTTGTTTCTCGATGTGTTATTAAATTCTAAAAATTCTGCCACACCAGCTCTGTAACCGGACCTTACCATCTACATTTCATATTTCTGAATGTTCATATCACTAAAGAAATAAAATTAGCAGCTTTCTCTATACATTCTAAATGCATTTAGTGTTTTTTTAATAAAAAAATCTTTAATTAAGTCCAAAAATTCTAAAATGGAAAGGAAACGTGGAAGAAAGAAATTGAATGGGAAATTATTCTTGAAAGATATGTACAGATATTATTATGTAAATTACTGAGTTGTTTACAATTTCAGCCATTACTATAATTTCCCATTTCTATTTTCTCACCAGACTGCAAATCACTTAGTTTTTAAACTGAGGTTTTTGAAGTGTAAGACAAGAGTGTTTTAAACTGAGGTTTTTGAAGTGTAAGACAAGAGTGTATTTCTGAGCTTCACTTGCTCCCTGCATTAGTTCCTGCCAGCTCTGATAATTTGTAATTATTCATCTTTACATTACCGCTGCCGACATTTGAATTTGTTATGACGATAAAGTTACTGAGCTTAAAATGTTACAGCTTAAAATGAAATTAAATTGTATATCGTAGTCCATATTTTTAGTTTGATCGCTAGTCCATATTAGTTTGAATTTGATTCTTCTTGTTTAATTACATCATCACGACCTGTAGTTGATTTATTTAGCATTATAACATGCCTTTATGTTCTGAGTTCTTTTCAAATAAGAAGCTTATTTAAATCTTTGTAGCTACTTTCAGACATAGTGATAATTTGCTGCACATCTGTCCGAAGGGTTTTGGACTATTTAACTTTTACCAGATCGAGTAAAACCTAAACCTGGGAACATTTTGGAGAAGTTGACAAGTTAGGAGCTAAAACACGTAGAAACTAGTGAGAACATTGTCTTGCGTATTGAGACAAAGTTCTAACTGTTAGAAAATATGCTCAAAGAGAAGGAAAATAAATTAGCCAAAATGTCTGTTAAGGCTTCAAATTAAAAAGATGCATAAATATTTTGTTGAGTGTTGTTGCTACAAAACATAAATATTTTGTAGCTTTTAATGTATAATTATCGTAATATCGTTTAAGAGTCAATGCCATAAATTACATGTATTTTAAACTGTGAAATTTTATTTGATTGTGATTTAATAGGGCATTTTTAACAAATATTGTTAAAAAATAAATAAAATTTAATAGTGCCCATGTAAATCCATAATGACTGAGATTATTTAACACCTAATTTAATTATAACTAACTGGTCACCTTTAAAAATTATCTTTGCATTTTAAAGCGAGTTATTAACTTTCATTAACCTTATTGTAGTCACAAGATAAAAATGTAAAAATTCGTGTAAACCTATTCTTCGCATCTAGTGAGACTTAAAATAATGTAAAACAACTTGTCACCTCTGGTGCTATTTGTTTTTATGTGTCTTTGTATTTAAGAATATTTGACGTGAGTTTCGGTACATATAATCATTAAGGTTTTGCGCCAGGAAACCTACTATTACTACACCTCTGGGGCTTTAGTGGATTATTAGGGCCTTAAACTATATTAATTGAGTTACAACCCCTGGAATTCTACAAGAAACTACGACACTAACTGGGTGAGACAGAACCCAGCTAACTTTCAAAACTTGTGAACCGTGCTTACATCAGGTCTTTTAGGTTTGTTCTGATTAGCAGGTCGCTCTTTAGGCAAGCTGGAGCAGTGACAACAGCCAGTCTTTTGTTTTGAATCATGCTCATTGTGATTTTACTTCTCACTTTATGCTGCTTGACATAAAATCTACTCCTAGACTGAGTATGTGACAAAATGAGAAGTAAAAAAAATCAACATAAAGCTAACTGTTAGTAAAACCTAAATAAAATGTCACTTATCTTTCAAATATGTCCAATTATTATGCGTGTAAAATATTTAATGCTACTTGATAAATTTATAAAGTTTATTTTATTCTCAAACATATTAATAATTATGTTATGCTTAATAATAATGCATCCGGCTTATGGATCTATTTTATTTTTAGGATGATATTACGAAAGTTCAGTATAGATAATATTTTTAATTGAATTTATTCAGTTCCCATTTGCTTATAGGTCCTTAATTTTTTCATTAATGGTCCTTAAAAGTCCTTAAAAGTACTTAATTTCCATGTGCAGAAATGTGTACGAACCCTGTATCAAACAAAAAGTGGAATTGCTGCAAAAAATCGATAACCATAATCGATGTTTCTCTAACCATTCCGAAATCTGTTTATCAATTTCACGCTGCTCTGTGGGGGGGGGGGCGTCGCGGCACGCAATGAATTGGAAGTTGATCTGTCAACACTATCCTTATCTTCAGGGCAGATGAATTGACTTATTCTATTTCCCGTCGATAGCTATATATCATAATCAAATAACACCACACACATTACATAGAAATAACATGCTCTAATTTTCAATACATTTATTTTCCATAGCGACTCTCTGGCTCTAGGTTTCACCTTACAGCGCAACATATGAATTGCAACTTTGAATGTACCACACAAAATCAAGTTTCTCACAGAATATATTTCAGTGCCAATTCTGGTGGTGCATGCACTATTAGCCAAGTATTTCTCAGCTAATACAAAACATTATTTTTATTTTATTTGGCTTATAATTTCGTACTAAATGTAGTATTTCATCTCAATGTACTCCGTCTTTGATATGATTTAAATCAAATTCCTCATCATTATAATTCGCTTCCGATAGTGAAGAAAGTGACACAGAGGTTATTGAAAACGAAAAAATTTCGATAGGCAAATAAGTCAGTATTCTCGCTACAGCAATTATAGGACTTGAACAGCGGAACTTTGTAACTAAACAAGAAATTATGTCTGTTTATAGAATTAAAGAGAAAGTATTATCACATAAAACGAAGCAACTTAAACAACTTAAATTGAAAGAAATGTTTAGTAAAGAAAACACATAAATGTTAAGCTTTTTTTTTTTTTTTTTTTTTTTTTTTTTTTTTTTTTTTTTTTTGTAAATTTTGATACCCTTTAGATCATAATTGTTCTTTATTTCATAAATTACAGTTTCATATTTTTAATTTTATAATTTCTGCATGCCATCTTACCAGATTTGAACTGATGATCTATAATCCGGAATCGTAGAAGTCCCGACAACTCTGGGTTAAAGACTTTTGACTGTATATAAAAAAATTATTGGGTGTTTTTCAGAAGCTTTTTCAAATTTTATTTTTGTAAATAGTTATATATGTAATTAATTAAGTAATCAGAGTTTATATTTATACAAATAATATTATATACTTCTTGTGATATGTGTAATTTTTAAAGGATTATGCAGATCTTTTTTTTTTTTTTTTTTTTCCCTTTTTCCTTTTTTTTTTTTTTTTTTTTTTTTTTTGACAAGAAAACATCTGTTTTAGAATTTGAGGATCATGAAAGCAGGGCGTTTGGAAAAAATGCTGTTAAAGTTGTTATAAGTGAAAAAAGTTTTTGAAATTCTGATTTATAGTAGCAGAACACATTTGTTACTTTGTCATTGCTTTGGTTATTGTTGAATTTCTATTCTCTAATGCTATGGCTTTAGTTTAAGACTGCAGTATTTTTACTGAACGAGGACATGTAATTCAAATATTGCTTCATAATATACAAATGTGTTTGAAATTACATTAAAAATATAAGGTAAATTTTCTTACAAAAAATTGATAAAAATTGGAGTAAAACTTTTCTGCATGTGGTTCTTCTAGACTGAATTGTATCTCGTTAAGTAATCAGCTGCAAAATATAATTGCATGTAACATATATGTTAATTTTTTTCCCCTTTTGAAGTTTTCTAATGATTTTAAAAATATTTAATTTATGTATTTTTTTAAGATAATGTATATATTTTTTAACAATTTTTACAGCATACATTCTAAAAGAAATCACATTGAATCAAGCTATTCGGTATTCTGATGGGGATTTTGTTGAAGCATGGCTAAATAATTTATTATGCCTTGATGTATCAGTGGCTACACATATGATGGAAGCTTTTCCTTCTCCTGAATCATGTGAATTGTATCCTTTTATTGCTTCAAAAATAATCAATTTTGCAGTAATGAATTTTAAAATACCTTGACTAGAATTTTATGTTTTCCTAAAATCAATGCATTATCTTATCTGATTTTTGTTTAATAAAATGTAAATGAAGTTATTTCATTTGGTTAAAATATAAATATTAGATAACCTTGCATACAAAAGGCGCTGTAAGTTTAACTTTTGTGTTTTGTACAATTTTTGGAAAAACTTTATTAAAAAAGAAAGGGTTTGCATATAAGAGAGAATTCCATCTAAAATAAACTTAGTATGAAGTGTCTGCAAGAAAGGCAAACAAACAGTCTTAATGTCACTCCCTGAAGTAAAATTAAGCGAGTATTTTTCAACATAACATATTAAGGGATATTTGATGAATTAGTGCATTGTTTTATTTTAAGATGCGAGCATTTACAAAATGCATTCCTTAATTTCAATATAACCAACATAAAAAGGGCTTTGATTCTAAAAAAATAAAAAGTAAGGAAACGTAAGGCTAAAACATATCTATCGATTTTTTTTTTTAAATAATTAACTTAAATTTATTAACAATATTCATTTCTTGGAGAAATGAGTTACTTCAGAATAATTAATAATTGGGAAAATTGTACAGTTTTAATATATATCCTCTCTTCAGTAACATATGTGTGGGGGAAAAAGTGTGTGCCTTTGGTTCTAAGAAATACAATATTGCAGAAAGTTTTTTAATATTAGACTGGGTATATATGACATAAAATTTTCAGAAAAGCGTTTTAAGGGATAAGATATAATCTTATATTTAGGCCAATGTTATAATTTAATTTATTAGGTGCAAAATATTATAAATGTTTCTCTCTAACAGTTTTTTATTTTTATTTTACAGCACTTAAATTTACTGTAATACTAATTTTTATATTCTGAAAGAACAGAAAGATTAAAATAATATTTACAATCTAAGGATTATTTAATTAATGTATGAATTAATAAATTAATGTATTATATCTATACAAATTCTTTACATGTCTGCCTTATAAAGTACAGGGTTCGTAGCGGTCCTTATAAGTGCTTATAAGTCCTTATATTTGAAAATAAAATATAAAGGCCTTTATAGGTGCTTACTTTTTCTTTAAAGCCCTTATTTTTTTGTTTTTAGTGCTTATATTTTGCTTTTAGTGCTTTTTTTTTTTTTTTTTTAATGAACATGCTATTTTTCCCCGTATCAAAGCCAAAACTAAATAAACAACTTTTCTTCCTAATATAGAATGTCAGATGGTGAATCATACTCCCGGAAATAACTTTTCCCCTTTCTCTGCATTAACATAACCTTTGGTGTGCACGAAGAGTACAGACAGGTGCCCGTCGTTCTATTGGTCAAAGAATTGCGAAAGCAATAGAAAATTCCGCTACATTTGGCATTCTCTTCCTCCCACCCAAATACTACACACGTTTGAATTTCTATCAAGATCTTAATAATTTGCATTCTCATTCCGCTTGGTCAGTTCATATTCATGTTTATTATGATCGTCATACTTATATAATGAGCATATATATGAATGTTTATAATAACATAGTTGCAGTAACTGCTGAAGTATAGTAAACTTTCAAAAATGGTTGTGTTTTAACACAGATTAGCTTTCTAAGGAATAATATTCGGAATGGCTTAAATAAAGGGAAAATAATCAAATAGTCAAAATAATTTTTTTTTTTTTTTTTTTTTTTTTTTTTTTTTTTCCTAATACATTATACAGTACGAAGACTGGGAGGTTCTCCCCTTTCTCCGCAAAATCTCGAATATTGAAACTATTATAGTTCGCTGCAAAACAAGCAACGGATGTTTTTTTTTTTTTTTTTTTTTTTTTTTTTTTTGTCACTTTCCAATCTGGATTGAATAGGACTAAAAGTTCTGCGGTCTATCAACCCAAGCGAAGAATGATTCTATTCCGTAAATTTAACGCTGTCTGTTGAAAATTAGAATGAAAAACACCCCAGTTATTTAGTTCTTTATTCTCCCAATACTGGCAGTTGTTGATTCCGATTGTGTAATATCACGTAGGGAAGAATTACAGTGAACCCATTGTGCAATAACGTTTGCGATATTTTGCATAGATAATTAATTTTGATGTTCTGTCCGAGATTTGTTTATGAACACTTAAAAGAGTTTTACTGTGCTTGCTAAGCAGAATATTTTTCAGTTTCATTGGTTTATTTTTAATATGATGTGCATATCAAAATGTCAAAAGTATTTATTTAGGGAAAAAAATTTAAAGAGCGGCTACAGTCTACCCCCTCTCCTCTTTTTCAAGTTACGCTCGACTGTCCGAATATTCGCCAATTTCCAAGTATGCGGGTTAGTTAAGCTTTTACTGTTAAAGGATGACTGCATGAAGCAAATTTCTGTCTTCTGATTTCAGAAATGTTCCTCTTTTTTACTTAAATTACTTTGCTTGCAATATCTGTTAAGGGAAAACTGATATACAATGAAAATTTAGAAAATGTTCAGAATTTAGATTTAAATTATTTAAATATCAATATGAGTGGAAAAATAAATTGTATTTATTATTAGGTTCCAAGCGAATACAATAAATATTCCTTATTATTATTTATTTTCTCTATTTTGAACTGAAATTTCATCATTAAATCTTGTAATATAGTTTAGTTCTGCTTGTAATATAGTTCAAGTTTTTTTTTTTCCGCTCATTGTAAACTAGTTCTGTAAATTGAACTGTTATTTAAAATTTTAAAAAAAAAAAAAAAAAAAAAAAGTATTCTCTCTTAATAAATACTGCATTTCTCATATTTTAAATTACAAGTCTAATTTTTAAGGTTATGCAGTTGTGTATAATGTAATTAGACAGGTGCTTATTTTTTTTCTTAAAATGTGCTTGAAAAGTGCTTATTTTTTTAACTAAAATGTGGCTATGAACCCTGAAGTATGTTGTGCTTAATATTGTCATTTTATGAAGCTATGTGCTGTCTTAACACTGTATGGAAACCTATAGTGTGCAAGTATTGCATACACACACATACTAAAAAGAATTACAAAAAATGAAAAAGTTATGAAAATTTATATTGTATGTTTGATTGGCATCTTGAATATACTTTTCTGTGTGTAGAAAGAGTGCACTATTGTATAAGAACTGTTTCTCTTGTAAAATGCTTTTTGTCTTACCTGTAATATACAGCATTATGCATAAATTATTGATTTGTATTATTTGACTAATACTTTGAAAAAAACATCTGACAGAAAACAGAAATATGGCATAGTAAGAGCTTTGGTTTGTCAGGGAATGCCATAATGAGTTTTTAGTTTGGTACTTTGGACACAAATCTGTTTAGTCAAAAGTATCTTATCAAATTCACTTTAGTGGTTTAATGATTAAGGCTGCTGAATACTGGTAGTTTGAATGGAATGCATTTCTAGGCACATTGGCTGGGTGTAAGATTGGTTTTTATAGCTTTCTCCATCTGTAATATAAATATGAGCCAATTTCCCTTAAAACATTCTTCATGAAAACATCCTTCATCTTAAGCACATAGCCTTTGAATGCTTTGCTGTATTCAAATAACCTCACCTTATGTATCAAAATGTACTCAATTAATATATGAAATGCAATAAACTATCCACAATAGTATTTTCAAACAATAAAAATAAACAGAAAATGTAGAAGACTCTCTGAACTTTTAAATTTTGCTTTGATTGTGACCTTTGCGTATTTATAATAATGCATTCTTAAGTTCCTTACTGCTTATCTCTCTTCCATTTATAAATATATGTATTATAAATAAAGTACTTTAACTCTTTTAAAAGATATTACGTCAATAGGGATGTGTTATTTAATTATCACAAATCTTCAGAAGCATTTCTGCAGAAATTAGTTGCCCTTTTTGTTTCTTCACATTATAAGAACACGCCTAATGATTTGATGATGATGGCTGATGCTCCCGCACATCATATATTTTGTCTACTACCTTCTGTTCATGTTGATTGCACAGAGTTGCCTAGCATTTTATGTGCAATTCAAGTAAGTTACCTTAATTAATTTACCAAAGCCAAAAGATATTATGAAAAATAAGGCTAAATAATCAGTGTAAGTGAATTTCATGATGTTCGTAATCTTATTTATTAAGGATAAAAGTTCTCCATAAGATTTCTTTGCTGTCCTCTTACATTATTTATGTAGGCTGTGATGGAACAGTATGAATAATTATGGCTGTATTTTAAATTACCAATGACTAATAATGGAAATTATTAAAATCATCAATTATATATTACTGTTATCTTGATCATCATTCAAATTATTATTTTGTTTCTCTTCTGTACTTTTATGCAAAATCCCCCCCCCAATGATACTTTGATACAGAGGTGTTATACAGAGTTTCTACTTCTACTACTAACATAGTACTTCCCTATAATCTGGAAGGAGTCCCACAATGGGTCTTGTGTTGAAAGTAGCCTGTGAATCCTAAGATGGGAAAACTGATAAGTAGAGAGGAGAAAAATATTGCAAGTCCATAGTATGTGTTTCAAAAAGCGAGCTTGAGAGGTGCAGAAGACCGAAAGCTGGTCGAAGCTCTTGTGCCATCTGTTGGTGGGAGGAGATACTGAGATGAAACAGACATTTTCGTGAGAAGCGACACATGAGTCGCAGTGATGAATCAGGAACAGGTTTTCCCTAATGGCAAGCCCTCAGCCAAATTTGGTTGGCCACAACTAAGGCCAGAGGTAGTGGCCACTTTAGTATAGAGGCACCTAATAGGTGGGCTACCTTTGCCTCCTATGAAAAGATAGACAGTTACAACGATGCCTTTTCCGGGACTCGAACCCAGGCCCTTTGGTATCGCAGTCAGCTCTGCTAACCACTATACGGTCTGTACTGCACTTTTATGCAAAGTGATTTGAGAAATATAGATAACTATAAATCTGACTTTTATGAATAATATTGGAACTAATGTCTAGATACTGATGTGAAAATGGATGTTATTTTAACTATTAAAGAACTTTATTACCATTGAGAAGCAGTAAAATATTATTAAATTATATATTGAGTCATTGGGTTGCATTGAATAATGTAATATATAATAATAGAATTGCAGCTTAAATATTATATAAAAGTTTTCAGTATTGTAGGTGATAGTGAATATTTAATTTCCAATACTGTCACACACACATGCATGCATGCATGTGCACACACACGCGTATATTTTTTTACAAATTACTTTCATGATAAATAAACTTCCACGATGCTGAGTATCAAGCTGAATATTTTATACCAAGAGACTAGCAGTGTCTAGTGCATATGTCTGGCTTTTTTTCTAGAAAGTATTTTCACATGTATGCAATGCCATCAGCAAACGTTTTTAGATTTTGGAGAAGTCATGACAGGAAAACTATTTAGGGCGGCACCGAGCAGCAAATTTTTTAGAATTTTGGGAGATGTTCAGCAGCAGTATATAAAACCCACAAATTGCAATGGACAGCAAAATGTTAAGCACCAAGCTTGCCTGGGTGTCTTCTTTTATCATTACACATCAGTGTGTTTATTCATTTTCAGTTTTTTTTTTTTTTTTTTTTTTTTTTTTTTTTTTTTTTTTTTTTTTTTAAGAAATATGAACACATTTGATATTTTTTCAACATGAACAAATGCAAATTATATAAAAACCTTACTCCTGTGGTTGATATGTGACTATTGTATAAGATACCACATCATAAAAGTAATAATCTTTTTATATGTGTTAGGCAAATGTTAGTCAAAATCTTCATGGTAGTGCCTCAACATGACAGTGTTACTACCTTTATGAAGATCAGTTTTAACTTGAAAAAATTTGAAAATCAGATTTGGTGTGGAGAAAGAAGAAAAAAAAAAAAAAAAAAAAGGCTTTAGTAATATACTAATAGAATTTTAGTTTGCTATTGTTATTACTAAAAAATATAAAATTCTTTCTTGCATGGTAATGTCTATGGTAGGATGTTGGTGCTTTTATGAAAGATGCTCATTTTTAATTAAAAGCTCATCTTCATGAAGACATCAGCACCTTTATGCTAGGGCAGGAGTCTAAAAGTGGTGGTCCACAAACTTTACGTGGCATCCAAAGCAATTTTATGTGACCCTTGAAGATATTTATATTTCAGGTTTTTTTTTTTTGTTTTTTTTTACTGTAAAGATATCAAGATTTTAGTCATTTGAAATTCAAGGCTATTCTATTTTTAACAAATCATCAAAAACAAATATGACTAACTTGCCAGAATATCTTTAAATGGAACTAATTAATTTACAGTATGATATAAACTTTATTTAAAAAGCTGAAGATGCAGAGGTTGTGAACTTTTATTTGCAGTTGTCAAGAAATAAATAAGCTCAGTTATGAATTTTTACATAATGAATAATTGTGCTTTGGGAATACCTTAATACTTTTAATTATTTTAATTATTCAGCATTATAATCTGTTAATTTTAAATCTTATATCACATTTCATAAAACTTGCAACTTTTTATTGCTGCAGTTTTAATTATTGTTTTTAGGTATCATTAGAAGGAAAAATATCAAAAGAAAGTGTACTCTTGGAACATTCTCATGGGAAACGAGCATCTGGAGATCTTATACCGTGGATCATTTCACAGCAGGTAGATTAAGTCATTTAATAATTTGAGGAAATGTAAATTATGTATATGCACTAAATCTCTCATAACAATTTAAAAGTTGTACATTTTTCTTTGTCACTTCATAAATGATTTAATTTTATTCAATTTCTGTATAAATATTGCTTGAAGTGTTTTATTTCATGTTAATGTAGTGGTTATTTATCATATTTTTTTACATACTTCCAATAGAATAACTTTTTTTTGATCTAATCTTCTTGTGAAATTTTATTGTTAAATTTATTTATTTATTATAAAAATGGTATGTGTATTTGTTAATTACAATTTGGTGTATTTTTATATAAACATATTAACTCTGTTTTTTTTTTTTTAAATTAACATTTTTGATGCTTTTTAAACAAAATAAAGTATTTTTTATTACTGAAGTAGATCTTTCACCGTGACTCTTTTTTTAACATTTTGGTATTTTGTTATAAAAGAATGTAACAGAAATAAAACATACATAACTCTAGATTCCAAGGTAAAATAACTTCTGTTATAAATTAATAATTTTATATAAATATAAAAATAATGTATACTGGTACTTTTATGGCCAAACAGATTTATTTTTAAATCAGAGGAATTTGAAAGGAAAATGAAAATGTATGTATTATTTGAGTCCTGAAAATAGTCAAATGAGTGGTCTTAAAAAAAAAAAAAAAAAAAAAAAAAAAAAAAAAAAAACTAAAAAAAAAAAAAAAAAAAAAAAAAAAAAAAAAAAAAAAAAAAAAAAAAAACTGTGAGAAATGGTGTAATTAAAAGTTTTGTTATGGAAAAGCTTTTCAGTTTGAATGCAATAATAGGCTATTGACCATTTTTAGAAATAACAATAAATGTAGCACATTGTATCAGATACATAGATGTCTAATATGACTGTTATACCACTGTACTTTTTCCTTGCTTCATCTGGAGCCCCACCAGTGGCTGAGTGGTTACAACTGCTGACTGCTGGAAGTTTGATCTGAGGCAAACAGTCTGGCTGCAGGGTTGATTCTCATGTTTGTGCTATTAGAATATGAGCCAGGTTTCTTTATAAATTCCTCCACAAAGGCATCCCTTCCCTTAAGCAGGTAGTCTTCATGAGCTTTGCCATATTCCAGTAACCATAATTGATAACCTAACTGTTAGAATGCCGATAACCTTGATTCAAATGTTTGTGGGGGGGAATGGATACAGTAGATGGAAAATTTAAGATTCAAGCTGGACTAAGATTTCTTATAATAATTCAAGAGTGTTTAAACTGAATGAAGTCCACATTTTCCTGAAGGAAAACCGAACTCCACTGCTGGACATGTGGCTTCATCTATCGATGGGTAGAGGAAATTTTTTTACTGCATTTTAAGTTGATGTCAGTCACCATTACTACAGTCTATCTTTAGGAGTATTTCATAGCTTTAGTCCTATACGCAGTTTTTGCAGGGGTATCCTTGCTTGTTTGCATGCATCAACAAAATGGAGACATTCTTTTTACTATTTAAGAAATACATATTTATTCTTAGTTTAATAAATTAGGACTATAATTATAAGAATAATAGCAAAAAAAGTGCTTAAAAGTAGTGTTAAATGTTAGAATGCCCTTCTGATGCTTGAGTAGTTAAGACTGCTGAATAGTGGGAGTTTCATCATAGCCCTAGTATGCTTTTCTATATTCTGATAACCTAACCTAATGTAACTCTGCTTCACCTGCTTCTTCTTGCATTTAGTCATTCCTTTTTCTAGTGTAACATCAATGCAATTGTTAAAAAAAAAAAAAAAAAAAAAAAAAAAGTGTAAAAAAAGAATCTAATTTAAAATGTATTGTTTTAATGTACTTAAGAAGTCACCTACCAAGTGGCAATAAAAATTTAAGCATATAAAGTTAAGAACTTGTGAAAATGACTTTAGAATAGAGAATTATAATATAAACAAAGAATAAAACAGTCAAATACATAAAATTTTGAAGAGGTTTTAGAAAAGGTAATGCCCTCCTTTCTGCATGAAAACAGAACTGCAGAGCAGTTAAAAACTGCATTAAGTTGCAGATCTCATAATCAAAATGAACAGACTGTACAAACCCATAAATTTTAATTTGAAAGAAGAATGGAATTTAGAATAAAATTTATAATTATTTATTACAAAAATTGTGTTATGTGTAGGAAAAAAAATAGTGATGTTAAAAAAAAAGGTGTTTGTCTGCTAGCATGTAATTTGTACAATATATAGTACTTTCTTATATTTAGCATAAAATATTTCTGAGTGATTGAAAATTCAAATTAATGAAATTTGGCTAACTGTACTTGAACCCCTTCCCTCCCTAGAATTTTAGATAAAGATATATATATATATATATAACTGTTTAACAAAACAAATTGGAAATTACTGTGTACAATAAGGATGATGATAATCTCGACAGATTTATAAGCCTTGAAACAAATTATATCAGTAAATCAATTTTTAAAGTTTTGTATTTACATTTAAAAAGTCCTGCATATAGTAGCATAGAAACTAGTATATTTGAAAATAATAATGATCATTAATAACAATTTTCTTTCAGTAACAGGAGAATTGAGTTTTAATAGTGTAAAAAAAAAATAACAATTTAAAGATATTATCTTTCAGTTTCTTACAGAAAACATGCCTTTTACTTCAGCTATAAATGGGCATGTCTTAGGACTGTTCATTTTTTCCAAGTCATTAACTATTCTGAAATAATTATTTTTGTTCAAATTAATTTAAATACAGTGGTAGCTTGCTATATGTTATTAATCTGTTTCATATCCTTTGATGTATGACAAACTTTCCCAATAATAAATAAAAAAATGAATTAATCTGTTCTTATTAAAAAAATCCCATTTTTATTATAACATTGTTTAATACTAAAATGCAAATACAGTGGGGAAAGTATATCTGCATATGATGCTGCAACATAAGTATTTTCTGCAATCCTGATCAAAAGAAATTTTTCAGCATACTCTAATACTTCTCGGCTTTAATTTAGATAAAATAATGCACTGAACAAGTTTTGGCAGCTGAGGATGATGGTTCGGTAAAACCATCGAAACTAGTCCTGTGAAAATTTACAAATATAATGCCAATTTTTATTATTTGACTTTTAAATTAATACTTCTGAACTTTGTTTAGTAATTGATCCCACCCTTCGCAACATTACCCAATTTAATAGCATTTTTGTTTTTCACAGTTGTAAATACCATCTTACAGTATGCGATAACCAAGTTCTGGGTGTACATGCCATCTATATACAGTGAAATACGTTTAACGCGAAAATATCAATTAACACAAAATAACACAATGGTCCCGACAAACTGCTATGTATATTCATGCATTTTGCAAAAATCGCTTAACACGAAAAAACTTCCCTTTTGGGAATGAACAAAATACGGAAAACACCAGCAGCGCAGACAAGATTTAAGAGGAGTGTGAAATGAAAGAGAGGTGGTTTCACATGTTTCGTAGACAGGATGCTAACTTGGCACATTATGAGGTATTTCTCCCACCTTCTTGGTAGGCCTTCAGGGTGTAGTGGTTCTACACGCTGGGCCAGTTTTCCAGAGGTCCGTGGTTTGATTCCCGGCGAAGGCGGTTGCTAATTTTTCATCTCATCTGCTTCCAAAAATACCTAATGTCCCTACAGTGGCTCCCGAACTAAAAGGTTTGTGGATGATGACTCTCCACACCCAGGATTTGGCGACTGGGTCCCTTAAAAAACCCAGTCACCCTTTAAAAGGGGGAGTATATAAGGTATTTCTTCCACCTTCTTGGCATGCCTTTGTGGTGTAGTGGTTCTGTATGCTGGGCCGGTATTACAGAGGTCCGTAGTTCGATTCCCTGCAAAGGCGGTGGTTGTTAATTTTTTATCTCGTCTGCTTCCAAAAATACCTAATGTCTCTAAAACATATCGTGGCGTATAACACATAACTTGGCTTTGAAATACCCTCGGAATAACTTGTGACACTAGCCAATTTTGTTATCTAAGCTACTTTCACCCTCTGCCCATACAAACGCCACACAAAAACATCTCATCACTCATCAGTTGGCTTTGAAATTTGGTGACAAGTACATCGCAGTGTGTGTAAGAAGTCAGTGAGTTTGGTTCGTGCCAAAAGAAATGGAGAAGAAGGATATTGAAACTGAGCCAACACTTGATGAAATGTTTGAGAAAGTTTCTGTATTATTGAACTGTCCTACTGTGTCATCGGAAGAATTCACTGCAATAGATGATGATAATATGTATATAGCCCCAATTATGGCAGACAAAGATAGTTTGAAGTTTGTTCAAAGCTAAAAATATATAATTGATGTATATTCCGATGATGAAAATGAAATGAATAATGCAGATCCCTTTCCAATGTCATCCGAAATGAGGAACATCATGAAAAGCATGCACAGTTATTCAAACGCACATTCCAATGGTGAAATGAATGACAAAATAAATGACATCAAACAATTTGTTGATGCTAAAAAGGACAATGCAAAGAAAAATATCAGATTATTTTCTAAAAACTCAATAAATGTTTTGTTTTTTTTTTTTTTTTTTTTTTTTTTTTTTTTCCCCCCAAAAAAACTTGAAAATTTTGTATTAAATTAAGTTTTTGTGGATGATTTTGTTTCATTGATTTTTTTATTAAATTGAAAAAAATCATTAAATTTACATAGATATACATATCTATGTAAATCAAATGTATTCTAATTAACTTTATTATTATTATTATTATTATTATTATTATTATTATTATTATTATTTTTTCTAGTATCTTTTAACATGAAAAAATATTTCAGTCCCTTCAGGTTTCGTGTTAAACGATTTTCACTGTAAGTACAAAATCATTTGAAAATTCAGAGGTATAGTGTAGGTTGTTTAGTGAATAATAGCAACAGGCTTACTAACTCTCATGGGTATTCATAGTCTTGACTCAGACGTAAACAAGTGCAATGTGCTCAGTCATCAAATTAGACTCATCAGTGACAAATTTGAGTTATATTCCAAACAAATATTGTATACTTAAGAAAAATTTTTGCATCCAAAGAGGTCTATACCAAGTTGGATGTATTTCAAAATGGATGTATACTTGACGTGCCACTGTAGATAACTCTGCTGTTAATAAGTATTAAGAAATGTGGCTTAGGTATATTCATATGTATTGTTTCATTTGTTGTACAGTCAAAAGTCATTAATCCGGGCTCGTCAGGACTTCGGCGATTCCGGATTGTCGATATATTGTGCATGAAGACAGTTGTTACTGGAATATGGTTTAATTTCTATCAAAATATTTACTTCCCTGCTCATTAAAGAATAATTAAATTAAAAAAAGATTGTTGGCTTTCTGTAAAAGATATATACTTCTTTAATATCGTCCTTTTTATGTCATGATTTAAATGGTATGAAGCAACACTTCCAAAATTCAAAAAAAAAAAAAAAAAAAAAAAGTTGACTCTTTTCACACTTTTCTGTAGTTTTAAGTATAATTTTTATAATAAATACATTTTTGTAAGAAAAATATCTTACTATGACACATAACATTATGAAATATATTAAATATATAATATTATGAAATATATTTTGGCAGAAGAAATGTCTTAGTTGAACGACAATGAATAATTTATTTATTTCAAAGTTTAACAGTATAAAATTTTATGTAAATTTAAGAATTTTCTACTTTTGTTTCCAGACTAACTTATGTATACACATCCTGGAAGGTTAACAGCAGCAGTTAATAAGTTAAAATCATCAATACAGTAAAAAGCTCGTAATCCGGACTCGTCGAGACTTCGGCGATTCTGGATTATCGATTTTTCCGAATTATAGATCATCAGTTTAAATCTTGTAAGATGGCATGCAGAAATTCTAAAATTAAAAATATGAAACCGTAATTTATAAAATAAAGAACAATTATGATCTAAAGGGTATCAAAATTTAGAAAAAAAAAAAGCTTAATATTTATTTGTTTACTTTACTAAACATTTCTTTCAATGTAAGTTGTTTAAGTTGCTTCGTTTTATGAAATAATACTTTCTCTTTAATTCTATAAACAGACATAATTTCTTGTTCAGTTACAAAGTTTCGTTGTTCAAGTCCCGTAATTGCTGTGCCGAGAATACCGACTAACTTGTCAATCGAAATTTTTTCATTTTCACTAACCTCTCTGTCACCTTCTTCATGTCTTTATCCATTTTTTGCAGCAATTCCACTTTTTGTTTGATGGACATCGGAACATACTTTCGTTTTGTAGATCCTTTGGGAGCTCCAGTATCGGAAATTCTATTTGACATAATCGAAAGTTCAAGTTTACTTTTATAAAATTGCTCTTACAGTCTGCAAAAAATAATAAGCCGGAAATAATTCGAAGATTAAGGAACAATGCAATCATCAACATTAACTGAAATAAATAATTTTAGCTTATACTGTCCGTTATACATAAAACGCGCACGCGAAAACGTATTCTGCGCTTGCGCAGACACATATGCGCAGTCGTAAAGGTCTTACGCGCATGCGTAAACGACTATGCACATGTGTCAACGCGGCGCATGCACAGAAAGTTTTTAGCTTTGAGGTCCGGATTATGGGTGTCCGAATTAATGACTTTTGACTGTATTTGCTTAGAATAAGTGTCTTTTTTTCCCTTTTCCCTGTTGATGGTACTAAAATTATGAGGTACATCTTAAAATCACTTGCACTGTTGAAATAAAGAAATAGGTTGTGGAATATTTCAAAATGTAGAAATTTACATTCATGAGTTTTTGCTTTATTCCAAATAAAATATAGATCACATTTCTGAAATTGATTGCAATTTTAAACATCCAAATAGCAGATGTGCAGTTATTTCTGAGAATAATGAAATATTTCCACAAACTGAGAGAGTAGAAGTTAGTTCACATTTAAGGTTTTAACACTGAAGATTAGCTCAAAGACATGTCCTTTGTGATAACAAAAGAACAAGCGATGATGTCATTTGTCCTTGTTTTGAAATATTGTCAAGTAGTGGTTTATCAAGAAAAAAATACAAATAACCATGATTAAAAAAAAGCTTGACTTTTATTTTTGAGTAACTGAAAATAGTAAATTCAACATACCAAGGACTGGGTTATTTGAATGTGGCAAATCACCGAAGTGCTATCTGCCTAAGGAAGGAGAAGGAATACCTTCATACAGCACTTTCTAAGAGAAGCTAACTTGTATTCAAGTTACACATACTGAAAACTTTGAAAACCAACCATGCTTGCCTGGGCTAGAACTAAGGTCAAGTCCTAGTATTCAGCAGTTTTAACCACTCAACAAATTTTGGGACCAATCGATCAAAGAAGTTTAACATTAGTATTTAATACTTTTATCTGCGGAAGAGTGGCATTAATTTTAAATTTTTGAAAATTTCAATTAAAAAAAAATTCTGTCTATGATAGTTCAATAGTCTATGATAGTACACTGTTTCAATATTTTTTACTAAAAATTTGAAATCAGTTTTTGATTTATTTATGAGTTTTTAATATTTTCATTTATTTAATGCAATTTTTTTCCTTAAGCTGTGTAATTTTTTTAAATCATAAAGATATGTGAATTAGACGAACATGTTATTTTTAGTTCCAAGATGCTGTTTTTCCAAGCTTAAGCAGTGCCCGTATAGTAAGGATTGCAACTCATCCCGATTGTCAAAAGGTAATTATGTACTTATTTCTAAAGATATTACTGTAATTGAAAAAAAAGCTTATATTTTTCCTGTGCATAATTCTCTGCCAGAATTTAGAAATCATACAATAAAAAGTACAACATTCAAATTGGAATTGAAAAACAATTCAAATTTAATACAATTTAATTTAAATTTCTCACTGCATCACACTTTGAAATTTATGGGATCATTTGGAAGATAAGTTAAAGATTTTATGTTTTGTACAACGACAAGATTTTCCAAGTTGTGTGGGTTAGGTATAGTAATAACAGCATAACGTAATGTTTCAAGAATTTTCGAAATACTGTTAAATATGGTTAAAATATAAGTAAGTAAAATGAAATTGTTAATTGATGATACTTGGATATTCTTTGTGTAAAAGAGATCACTGAAAAATATCACATTTATATATTCTTAAGGTATTCATCACAATATTGTAGAATACAACAGAGATCTGAAACTGAAAAATTATTTTCATTACCAGTCCCAGGTTACATTATTACATTATTTATCAACATGAGTAATCACCAGGAAATCTAAAGTGAGGTAATTAATTTACAGTGGGATATAAAACTTATTCAAGTATTTGAAGATATAGATTTTATTAACTTTTTTTAATTTAACATTCTTGTCAAAAAAGAAATATGCTGATCTACAACTTTTTGCACAAGAATAATCACTATATTTTGGAATATATTTATTTATGAACAATCTTTTTCCACATTTGAAAATTTGTAAGTATTGTAAGTAAACAAAATGATTGACCGATGACCATTTATAATCTGCAATGAAAAAAGATAGCTTCTAGTAATTTTCCTCCAGTGCTCAGACATAATGTTAAAAAACTTTGTAGTTTGCATAAAAAATTTATTATTATTTACAAGCAAACATATATATTTTAATTTCTGTGTTAAAGGAAAAGTTAATAAATAAGAGAAATACACTTCTGGCTACCGTAAATGCAACCCCCTGAAGGAAGCATGCAAATAACATGAAATTTACAACATGCATTAGCAGAGGTGAGATATGCAAATGATTAGAATTTCAGTGCAAACCCACATCACGCGTGCCTTTGGCATCACTTCAAAGCACTATTTAAGGCTTGGAGTTTTCGACGATTTCAAGTTTGGCAATTGTGTTTTTCTTGTGGTTTAAAAAAAAAAAAAAAAAGATCAATTATGCCTCGTTGTAAACAGCGATTCATCGTTTATCAAGTATCCGAGTTCGACAGAGGAAAGAATAGTGGCCTACTGAGAGTGTAGATTACCTTTCAGAGAAATCGGTAGTTGTGTTGGACGAAACTAAACAACTGTAATGCGGATATGTGACCATTGGATGCAAGAGGGTATGGCGAACCGACGTGTTTGATCGTATCCACCTCAGTACACCACTTCACGTGATGACAGGAACATTGTGCGCATGGCAGTGACAGATCGCTCAGTCACATCACGAACCATAGCACAGCACATTCAGTCTGTAACGCATCATCCAGTGTTGCACGTACCATTCAACGCTGTTTACAGCAGAGTGGTGTGTCCGCAAGACGTCCAATGCTTCGTCTACCCTTGACGCAGAACCACAGACGTCTCCGCCAATGGTGCAATGAAAGAAGGATGTGAACGGCAGAATGGAATGAAATTATCTTTACTGACGAGTCATGCTTCTGTCTGCAACACCACGATGTTTGGATTCGAGTCTGGACACACCGTGGAGAGAGGATGCTGAACAGCTGCGCTATGCACCGTCACACTGTCCTGCACCAAGTATTATGGTATGGGGCGGTATTGGATATCACTCTCGCATTCCTCTAGTTCCCATTGCTGGTACTTTAAACAGCCAGCCAGGTGTTGAAGCCAGTTGTCCTTCCTTACCTTCAGGGCTTGTCCACAGCCATATTTCAACAGGATAATGCGTGACCACATGTGGTACGCATTGTCAAGGTTTCTTCATCAGTCGCCAGATTGAATTGCTTCTCTGGTTGGCTTGCTTTGCGGATCTTTCGCCGATAGAAAACATGTGGTCCATGGTTGCTGAACGATTGACCCAGATTACATCCCAAACTTCCACACCAGATCAACTTTTGGCAATGTGTGAAAGCTGCTTGGTCTGCTGTACCTCAAGAACACATCCAAAGTCTCTTTGAATCAGTGCCAAGGCGTGTGGCAGCAATAATCTCCAACAGAGGCGGCTACTCTGGCTACTGATTCTTGAAGGAACCACACTTCACAAAAGTCTATAAATTTAATCATTTGATACTTGGTCAACATGTTAATGTCTATTAACATGTCTACTAAATAAATTTAATGTTAACATGTCTACTAAATAAATTTTGTTGTGATATCTCTTATCTTTCTTGGTGTTGCAATTTGGGTGGCCAGCAGTATCGATTAAATTGCCATTATTTATTCTTTTTGCTTCACTTGGAAAGTAGTTCTGAAAATTTAGAAGTTTTCATAATTTGTTTATTTTTAATTTAAATTAAAATATAAGTTAGTTAATGTTTCATTAAACATGCTAGAATTATTTGAAAGAAATGTCAATCTGAAAGTTTAATTTTTAGCTGTCAAAGTATTTGCATGAGTCAAAGTAATGAACAAAAATGTGTTCCAGGTACCAAACTGTAGACTTCAGATAGAAAATAAATTTATCTGTTTCCTTATTTCTAAATACTTTTTCTCTTTGCATTATTGTTGTTTATGTATGTTTGGATAAATATTTAGCAAGTGAAATTTTAAATTTTGTTAAAAAATTAAAAAAAAAGTCACCTCATGCATTCTTTTTACCACTGCTAGATGATCATTCCCCCCTCTCCTTTCCAAAATTCGAAAAATATATGTACATTTATTTAAGTTTGGATTATTTTTAATGTGTTTCATAAATTAAACAAGAAAAGGTGTAGAAAATACCAACACTTTGATATAAGTAGTTTTTTACATTCATAAACTAAAACAGATTACTTAACAGGTAAATAAAATGCTTAACCAAATTCCTTCTGAAAGTACGAAGTTCTACTATTTAGAATAATAGTGGAATTTTTAGTATAGTAGAAGTAAAAGTTAAAGACTTAGAGGCTGAGAAAATGAAAGATAATAGGAAATTTAAGATGATTCACAGTGAAGGGTAAAAAGCTGTTTAGGAATCTTTGTTTTAAGGAACAGAGTGCTTCTGCAAGGAACATTATACTGCCGCCGCCCAACCGGTATAGTATCACTGACTGCCATGCTGATGGGTGCGGGTTCGAATCACGGAGAAGGCATGGGTTGTTTTGTAAACATATAATGTCCATGCAGCATGGGGGCATGTACATTATACATTTAAATATGTGGCGAGCTGAAAGTCCTCTCAAGAGGTTGGTGGTAGGTGATGGGGGTGGGAAACCCTCAGACCCATCCCTTCTCAGTCTTATTGTGCTCTCCATCAACACTGGGAGTGGAACTGAGCTAAATCGTATTGCCACCTGTATGGTGCTCAATGCTGTTGCCAACAACAGGCATATCTTGCAGTCCTTGCCATGAGGAGTTTCGTGGGCTTGAGCTTACTATAGGTCAGGCAAGTCAACAACAACAACGTTATGCTGCTTCATGAAGATGGAATAAATATGAATGGCAATCAAATATCATCAAATTTTTATCCAAAAGGATCTAAAACCATACCAGATACTTTTTTATTTATTTATATATTTTGGTATATTTTCTCAATGCCAGGTGCTTCAGTTTGGTTTAGCTTCTTATCTGGCAATTAATATATAACCGTCATTTACATGACCACATTTTTCAACTTATCACTCTTTTTTCCCTCCCTTTAACTGTTGTTGTGTCACCAATTTTAACTATGCTAATGTATTTGAATTAACTGTTTTTAAGGTTTTTATTTAATTGAAATGGTGTGCATTAGATTAACAAGGGCAGTTTAAAAGCTTTTGTTACTTTATTTCAATTTCTTATTCTTAACTTTCGTGTGGTCGGAAGAATTTGCTGAACATCTTGACAGGAAGCAGAGGTTAAGTTACTTGGTCAGTGTTCCCCAAATGGGTTTTCTTAGTAGGCTGTAAATAGGATCATAGTGAAAAAAGAGGAGTTATGTTGTCGCTCTATTTTGTTTGATTAAAGAGAGAGAAAGTTTCTATTTGCAAAATAAATGAACTAAAATCTGTCAATATGGCACCCAAAATGGGTAATTTTTCATGTTAGTTTTCAAAGCATAATAAGTTTTTTTTCGCTCTTTACACATTAAAGCCATTTCATAGAAGAATTTGTCATTCATCATTTTCAGTAACTTGCTAGCTACTCTATCCATATTGCATTAAATTTGTAGAATTCTAATATAATATAATAAAATAGAAAAATAACAGATTCGTTTAGATTTTTTTTTTTTTTTTTTCTTTTGCTTATTGAAATAAATTTTAATGCTCCTAAGAACAACGGCTTCATTTAATATTAAATTAGCATACTTGGTCTACAATGTAGTATTATTTAATTGACAAAATTCATTAAAATCAACTTACTATTTCACATAATGAAAAATGAATAAATTAAATATTGTCTTTTAATATAAATAAATTATTACTGCAAGATGAGGGAATGCTATTTGTCATAGCAGATAGATATGAGAGATAGCAATCTCATATCTTGTGTAGAGCTTCCTATGTTAAAAATGGTGTATGTTTATGTTACTTTTGAAAAATTATAAATATTTATCTAATCAACTTAGTTTTCTGCTTAGCATCAGTATCCAAATATAATTGTTTATGCCCATCAATCTAATCCACTCGATTAGCAGGGACACTGTTTGTGTGGATAAGAAATGTTAGATGTATATCAGGCCTTTAACCACTGATTGCTAGATAATGAGGAAAATATTTATTTTTTTTAAATATTTATTTTTAAAAAAAAATTAGTTTAGTGTTGCAGATTTTTTTCTAGTAATGCATAACACTGCATAATATAATTGTTTGGCAACCATGCTGTATTACTTTTACACCATAAATTTATGTAATGCTAGAATATACAGAAATATAAATTAATGCAATAAATAATATTCTTTTTTTTAAAGTTTTTCCTTTATATTTTTTTCAAATATGTATAGTTTTATAATAAATTACTTTGTAATTACCAGATGTGTTCTTAGGATTTTACCATTTCTATAAGATTGTTTTATCTTTATTTGGAAATAAAATTTCCGCCCTGATGCTATATGTTTATCTGATTTGAATCTTTTCAAAACACAAAGGAAGAAGTTATATAAATTTTGATAACTCTAGTCCTGAAATTTAAAACCTGCAGGTTGCATATACTAAGTTTTTTTTTTTTTTTTTTTTAAAGATTATTTTCATACAAAGGCTATTTGAATCAACAGTATAAAAATCTTAAAATATTTTATTTTAATTATTTCATGACATACTAAATATTTATTAAACATAACATACTGTGCACTCTCAGACCTAGAGGCATAATTAATTGACTCTTGAAGATATGATAGTTAGCCACTAGTGTTGTAAATGATTGAAAACAATTCATATAAAAGAACATTTTCATAAAAAAGAGCAATTTTTAATAATTTTTTCTCTCCAAATTCATTGTATTTATCCTAAATTTCAGCATTGCATGTGTAATTTCTGTTATAGCTTTACGCTTATCTTGTTTATTTATATTTAACCCTGCAGTGCTTGCGTGACATATTGTTACTGATAAAGGTCAAGCGGCATCTAACAGATGCCAGGTATTTTTTTTCTGTACTAATATATATTTAGGTCATTCAGTTCAAATTTATGAATGCAAAATGATTATTGAAGTAACACATGTATATTTGTGGCATCATATTACAAACACAAATAAAACTTCAGTTTACAGTGATACTTAATTGTATTCAACTTATGCAAATACAAATGAAAAATACAAGTGAAATTATTTCATTTAGTTAGTTGCACAAATTAGCAATCAGCGCATATTTGCTGATTCTAAACAGAAATATTTTACAACTGCAGCATTTGTACTTGGTGTACCTGTTCTTGGAATGGCCACATTCATGACATCTCTGCCTTTTAGTAGCTCGAGCCTGTTCTGTAAGTTGAACTGTACCCTCATCTGGGAAAAGGCACTGAATATCCTGCTTGAGGTTTCTAGGTAATGATGAACACTGAGAACGTCTACACAAAGAATCATCAGCTAGATTACAACTCAAAAGTTTTAAAATCTCACTGCATCTGGTGCTGATTGATAAATTATCTGCATGATATATTATTTGAGCATTTATAGCTGCTACATTCATCATACTATAAAATATGACTATAGACCATCTGCTCATTTTCCTGGCGACATTATAAGTGCTACACAACTGGTCAACAGTATCAACACCTGATTTAGTTGCATTATAAAAGATTATCATCTGTGGCTTGTTTTTTTTTTTTTTTTTTTTTTTTTTCCTCAGATGATTCATCAATTGCATCATCATGATGCAAAGTGGAGAGAATCAGAACCACCTTGTTTTTCTTAGTTACATAAGACATTAGAGTTGAGTCATTCTGAAACCTAAATAAATATGTTCCTACTTTTCGATTCTTTGTTTGCATAATCTCTAGAGGAATTTCACTGTTACATCCTCATGGCTACAGATGGCCTCATGGTTCCAACCAAAGTAAGATTATTCTGAAGCAAAAAGTTAGCTAAATCTAACGAGGTAAACCAATCGTCTACACTTATATTGCAACCTGTTCCAGAGATTACAGAACTCAGCCGTTTCGCAACATCTGCTGGTTTGTTGCTAATTTTGAATGGGCCTGCAGGCTGCTTGCCAGCAAATATTTCTAGGTTTACAGTGTAGTACATCCTAGCATCTACCAATGCAAATAATTTTATCCCATACTTATTTGGTTTACTAGGGATGTACTGCATAAAGAAACATTTACCCCTAAAAGCTTCTAATTTTTCATCAATTGTACAATACTCTCCAACTAAATAAGCATTTTTACAAATTTCAACAAATGAAGGAAACGCATCACGTATAGGCGCTAAATTGTTAGTTATCTTCTTTATCTCTATGTATCCTTATTGCTGAACCTTAAACAATATAAAAGGAACCTAAATCGTTTTTCAGACATTATTACACGGCATAGCTCAATACCCATTTTATCAGAGGACCATATCTACTTGGTATTTGCATGATTATCTTTTCTAGAAGTACAAATGTATAATATGCCTAGAAGCACTTTTATTTCAATTATGTTGGTCAAATGGACATCCCTTTCCTGAGAATAATTTTCCTGCACTGAGGATATCTTTTCATTTGTGAATTAACTATATTAAATAGCATGCCATTGTTGACAAAACATGCCCTTGCTCTGGTGTTCTAGCATTCTTCGCAACACCTTTCACCCCTGGTAAATGAGTGACAATATTATGTCACCGAGTGTGTATATTTTTAGGTGGGCAAACTTTTGACCATTCACCTGATTCATCTTCTTCCATCAGCATACGTGGTGCTATTTCTCTATCACGTTCATTTGCCATATTGAATTTTTTTCTGAGAAGTCATCTTGACTCTAATGGTAAGAAAATAACTAATAAAAACAATCTTTACCCATAAAAATTATAAATACCAGAAGAAATATATTCTTTTTAAATTTTGAATTAAATATATTCACAAACAATTTCTTTTACCTATCACTAAAAAAAAAAAAAAAAAAAAAAAAAAAAAAAAAAAAAAAAAAAAAAAAAAAAAAAAATCCACTACTAAGGACAGCTGTTGATAATTTTAAAAATTAAAATTACTAGAATATATAAATTTAAAAATACTTACATTTAGAATCAGAAATGGTCGCGTGGGTCTAGTAGACTCCAGCAGTGCACATCGGCTTATAATCTCTTCCTCTCAGCTCTAAAATGAAAACGGTGTTGTTTCGATGATTTCTACTTATTCATGTATAGTTGACAGAAAGGTAGATGGCAGCACAAGCTTGATCGTGCATCCGTTTATAAAGCCATTAAAAAAAGTCCCTGGCATCTGTGGGATGCTGTGCGAGCACTGCAATGTTAATGTCATCAGTTTTTGTACTGAACACTCATGTAATCCATTAAAAATAAGCAAATAACTCTAAGTTGTACTCTAAGTAAGTTGCATGTATATAAGTTTGCATACATATCATAATTTATATTTTTCTTTAAACTAAATAGTGGCATATTTTTCTCATCCCTTTTGTCATTTGCTTCATTCATATTATATTTTTAAACAGATGGGCTATGGTCAGAGAGCCTTGGAACTGCTGTGTGGATACTATAGAAGGAAAGTTAATAGTTTAAATGCTTTGGTAAATATGGATGGAAAGGAATCAAATAAAATCAATCCAACAAATTCATTGCAGTCTGAAACACCACAAGCTTTGCTGTTGAGATTACAAGAACTCCACCCGTGCAGCTTGGATTATGTAGGAGTTTCATATGGTTTAACTCCAGAACTTTTGAAGTTAGTGGAAAACTCTATTTGAATATAAAAAAATCAGTACTTCTAAAGTTTAAATCCTCTCAGCAGCCAGAATGTTTATATCTAGACATGACATTTGCTATCACTTTACATAAATTTGAATTTTTTTTCTCCCTTTTTGTGTTTGATAATCTAGATGTTATCATAATTAAAGGAAGGTTATGAAAACAAATTATAAAGTAATTAATTATATAATCTAACCAGTAAATGGTATATAATGTATTCTTCATGAGTGGATGAATGGGAAAAGAATAATTGCTCAAAGAGTTAGTAAAGTAATGATTTAGAGAAGAAACGTGTTGCCGGTTAGACCTGAGTTTTGTATTAAAATTATATTTTTATGTAACTTTATCTTTAATAAACATCTTTAATGCACTTGGTGTTTTTAAGCTTCATTTCAATTTAAGAATGAAAAGATATTGTATAATAATGCAAAAAATAAGAAATTGAAAATTCTTTTTTTGTTTTTCTAATTATCTTAAAATATGTAAATTAAAATGTATTTCTACTTTTCTGTGGGATTTCACTGTGGTATTCTGTATGCTAAGCAGTGCTACCATTCTAGCTGTATTCTTATTTTTCTTTTGATTTCTAATTTTTTTCCTAGTCATATTATCATATTTAAATTTAAACATATTTAATTTCATACATATTATAGTTTCATTTTTAATATTATTATACCAGAAAAAGTACTAGGCAGAGTGTTAATGCTGTTTATTGCACTATATTTAGAATATGACAACGGAAATCTTTTTTTAATTCTGAAGCTCCAGTAAGGCACTTTTTTAAATATAATTTAATGTCATCTTGATTACTATCACTGTTCATTGTAACATAGTGCTGGAAGTGTTTTGTAGGTATTTGCAAAACTGTGCAGTCTCAACAGCAGTTTACAAAAGCACGGAATTTATTAGTAGTGAGTTCTATGCATGAATAGTTCATTTTATAAAGTCTGATGTATATTCAAACGAGTCCAAATCTTGAAAACCAGTCATTTTTTTATGCTATGAAGAAAGCCTTTTTAAATTTTCTTCTCCCCCCCCTTTTTTTAAATGCTATGAAGAAAGCCAGTTTTGAGTCAGAAATTACCTGTGTGGGGTCACACTATTTTCTTCAAACTGTCTGTTACTGACATTATGGGTAAGTATATGTAAAAGTTAATTAGCTCTTGTACATAATTCATGCCAATAAGTATTATGCTGACTAAGGATCCACCACAGAGGTTTGTTATTTACCTGGGTAGTCATTATATATTATATGACAGAGCAATAGAGATTTGTAAGATTAATGCCAAATTAGTATCAAGTCAGTACATGAAGTAGTTTATATGTTAACTCATTAAAACAATCAATTTATGCTAGTTTATGGCTATTGCCGAAAAAGATTTCCAGCTCAAACGATCATTATGATTAAAAGCTTGTTAATTGATCATCAAGAGCCAAAACTGACACAGTGTAGCAAATCTCAAACGATTTTCTTGCTGACAAGTATTATCTGAATGCCAGCACTGAAACTGATAGTCAAGTTGTTGCAATGTACTTTGCTGTGACTACACAGATTAAAGTAGATGATAGAGGTTATGATCTCCCATGTGTTTTTTGGGCTTCAGTTAATGGTGATCTTATTTTTTCCACCTGATTTCAATGAATTCTTGTGACAATCTGCATTGAATTTTTTAACACATGAAACACTTTTTATAAATATAAATGTCTCATACATTAGGCCTTAGGCTGATTTGGGCTAATTATTGCAAGTCAGTTTGCACATGTGTTGGTTGAAGAAATCATTAAAATTTAAATAGTGAAATTAATTGCCCAAGAGTTTTTATCTGTTGCACTTATTACTTTAAATATATTTCACTTTAAATGTTTGTAATGCCTTAATTTCATTATGAAAGGTTTGGTATTTAAAGCAGTGAGTAAAAAATTTAATTTATTGCATTTATTACTATAAACTTTTATAAAATTTATAATGTTTTAAGCATTTTATGAATGTAATTGGTTATTTTTCCATTTATAGGTTTTGGAAGAAATGTGGTTTTTCCCCCCTGTACATAAGACAAACTGCAGTAAGTATTACTTAGGGTAATTATATTTAAAAAATAATTTAGAAATTCGTACATTAAAAATAATTAAATAAAAACTGGAAATATATTAAACGTAACTTTTATTTTTCTGCTTTTTAAAGTGATTTTATGTTGTAGGCTATAATATAAGAATGCAATTAACCTCTGACTGGATCCATTTTGTACCAATTCAGAATAAATTTTAAAACCAAGAAGTATAAAGAAATGAAAGATATATTATGCAGTTATTTATATGTATTAATTATTCTCTTGCTGTTTTTTATTCTAAATCAGTGAGCTTATTGTAGAAAGCTAAGAAGGATTTAAGATTAGGTAGGAGCTCTTGAATTCATTTTGTCTTCAATCTGAGTCAAATAAGCTTCTTAAGTATGCTAAAACAGTAAAGTGGCATGTCACAGGAGCACATGTCAGAATACCTTTCAATTTCTTGAAAGTTGACTAGTGAATTAGTACTTGTAGGCTCTCGCCTCAGCATTTGTGTAAAGAAGTGAATGCATCTATATATATATATATATATATATTATACATCATTAACCATCATACTTAGCTAATTCATTATGAAATTTTATTGAATATGCTAGTATTAATATGTATTAAAATACGTATGTAGAAAACATTTTTTGTAATGACCTTTAATGCTAGTTTTTATGTATTTAATTGCTGTTCTATTTCATTTCTTATTAGAGTGATGTGACTGGTGAATTCTCATGTATCATGGTTAAATGCCTCCATCCTGTTGAATCAAAGGAAAGCAACTGGTTGACTGATTTCTGTAGAGATTTTCTAGAGCGTTTTATTAATCTTTTACCCATATCATTTAAAACTCTCTCAGCATCATTGATTTTGAACATCATCCATCTTTGTAGTACAGAATCTATGAAAAGGAAAGGTATTTTGCTCATTAAACTATTGTTAAATATTTAAATCTGGATATTTTCAATGATAAAATAACTACAATATTTGAGTAATAATGTTTTATTTTTCCCTTATTAAAGGAAAATTGCAATAAATGGTAAAGTTTAAAAAATATGTCATTTTGTACTTACATTTCATATAAGTTGTAAACATGTGTAATTTAAAATTAATGCTTTCTTGCAATAATCAGCATCTTAGCATAAAAAATTAATTTGAATATAAATAGATCAAGAAAAATAAGTTATGTGATTCAATTTCTATTTTGCTTTTTTTTAATTTAATATTTGTGGTAATAAAATATTTTTCAAAATTTTCATAACTTAAAATCTGAATTATTTCCATATACAGAAATAAGAAATTTCATTCATATTAAAAATCTGACCATCATATCAAGGTAGTATTTTAAGATATATATTCATTGTGCCTTGAAAATGAAAAAATACGAATAAAAAATTTTTTAAAAAGGTAATTTAAAAAATAAGTTGTTTAATTATATTAATTTCAAAACTTTCTTTTAGTTAAATTGGATAGATATCAACAAATTGCTATTTTGAATTAATATGCTGTTTTAAAAAATAGGTAATTTCAAAAAGAAAGTTTTATCTAAATGTAACAGTGGACTTGATACATATATACTGTAAAAGCCCAATTATCCATCGTTCAACTAAGGAAAGCTCAAGTAACCAGAATATTTTTGAGTTTTTTATATTTTTGGACATATTAAGCATATAAGAGCTTTTTTACTCTACTCTAAAACATGAATCAAAGTATGATTCAAATTAAATAAAAATTGTTGCCAAATAGTGTGATTTCATGCCAATAATGGATAAGCGTAATGTAGCATTTTGTATTTATGTAAACCCGATTAATTCGTGATAAGCCAGTTTACTTTTTGTAAAAAAAACATAAATCAACTGCTATAGATCTGTTTTTTAATTGCATTTTGAAGAAATGATTGCAAATTTGGGGTATATTTTCAATGGAACAGCGAATAGTTGTGTATTTTCAAAATTACAGGATCCTGGAATCAAGTAAATTGTGATGTAATGTGAAAGTAGATAAGTATTTGTTGTGCATTATAAAAAATTATGATAAGTGCTTTAGAGTTTAGCATATTATGCTGTAACTTGTATATGTTGATTATGTAACTAAACAGCAATCTGTTCATCCAAACTTCTGTCAGATTAACTGGCATGTAGCAAAATCTCTGCCAGTTCTGAATGTCAGTGGAGTTTCGTGATCGAATAGGTTTTACTTCGATGCCGTTTATGTCAGAAATGCCTTTTTTTCTTTCGAAATCTCAGAAAATTTGAAATGTAGACATTTGATATTCAAATTGATAACAAATAAAATAACTATTTTTTTAATTTTAAACTGGAAAATCTTTCTTCCATTTATTTGGATTTCCTACCATGAATTGCGCTTTTTATGTGTTCAATTATTCAGAATTTTTATTTATCTGGAATTCGGCATTTACGAAGTTTTCCATTGTTTCTGTTTCCAAAGTTGAGCTTCTACTGTAATTTGATGTTTTAATTCTAAAATATATTATGCAAATATTTTTACATGTGTATTTTAATTATGATTTATATTAGAACAAGGACATTTGCTTTTTTTGCTTGCACTGCTTATTTTATTACTATTTTCTTTTGTAAACATTTAATTTATTAATTTATCTGGAGAGCATTGGATAACTAATTAAGAATTCAGAAAGAAAGACATATTTTAATCTCTAGAGCATTTATAAATTATTTAATAGATAACGAAATCAAAACATTTTTTTTCCCGTGAAATATATTCCAAAAAACTAATTATATAAAAGGTCATAATATCTTTACTTCAGAAAGCATTACACACTGCATTTATTCATTGGCTTAACAGCTTTCAAAGCATATTATTATTTAATCAATAAGCTTCTAAATGGATATAGGGCTTGGTAAGATACTGAGGATTTGACCAGGAGATAGACATGACCATGTCATTGGCCTATTCTTCATTGAGAAAATTTTTAAATCAAGAAGTTAGTTTAATATGCTTAACTGTAATTTTCTGGCATTTAGAACCAATACAACTAAATGTGATTTGTGATGTAACTCAAATAGTAAGCCTTCCTATTATGAAAGCAAACTATAGTGCTTAAAATAAGAACAATTTGTACTAAAAACTATGCTGATAGAAAATGAATGAAGCAAAATCCCAGCATCAAGAAGAAATCAGTTTAGATGAATGAAATGTAGGTAACATATTTATTTAATATTTTAATGTCACAGGTTAAATTATGTGCAAGAAGAACCATTTTAAATGTGAAATGGTGGTACATTAATAACCGCTCTAGTAACCAAGATGCTGAATGCAAGCATGCAAATGTGATGCATTATGTCATACAGGTGATGTATGTCATTTTGTGTGATAGAGTTCCATGCCTGTTGCTCTTGGTCAGTCAAATCAGCAGTGGTCTGTGGTTGTTAAAGATGTGGAACTTTTTGTCTAGTCATGTGGCATATTTGTGCGATGGGAGAAAAATAGGTGATCTTTCAGGCCAAGGCAATATGTCAATATTCTGCAGATGTTCGGTAATGGTACCAATATGGGAACATTATCCTATTGAAAAATGCTCCTTGGAATATTGCTAAAAAATGAAAGCACAACTGGTGTAATCACCAGTCTGTCATGTCCTGTCAAGCTGTGTTGGATAATGATGGGAGTGTTCCTGTTGTCATAGGAAATTGCTCCTGAGACCATAACTTTTAGTGTAGGTCCTCTGTTTCTCTGCTGCAGGCAGCTTGGTTCTAAGCACTCACCTGGCCTCCTTTCTAACATCACTGGCATCAAGACAAAAACGACTGTCATCTAAGAAGGTGAGTGAGTGAGTGCACCGCTATGATGGCTTCCGACCACGGACATGAACCAAACCGGTTATATACCATCATGGCAGGGAAGACTCCAAAGTAACAAGGTTGAGTATTACATATTAATAACAGTTTTTACAGTTTGATAACTGCAGGCACTACGCATTATTCTGGTTATCTGCTTTAAGTTCTAAACATTTGAAACATAATATTAGTCACAGTTGTTTCTGCTTAGGCAGTGTCTTGAGATTTTCTCTATTTTATCAATGGCTACTCTGTTTTTTGTGTATGTTAGACGTCCATATTGCCCAGGTACAATCTGCTGCTTCTTCAAGTGAAAGGTTCTTGTATGTACACAATGGAAGTAATAATGGTCCGTGTCGCCTTCCTCTCCACATTCGCAGAAAGGAGTATCCCTAAGTCTGAATCTGTTCAGGTATACTCGGAATGGTCCATGACCTGTCAAGAACTGTGTTAGGCTAGCACAGTGAGTCTTTATTTTCATGTTAACGTTTGGCAGTAAGCGAAATGTCCCTCATCCTACCTCTGCCTCTGTCCATCTACTTTGCCAATTTTGTAGCAGACTTGTCAAAGTTGTTCGCTTAATATGAGACAAGGAATTTTAGTTGGTCTTTTAATATATCCATGCAGTTAGCTGCCTGCTTGGCCAGTAGGTCAGCGGCTTCATTGCCTTGAATCCCTGTGTGAGCAGGAACTCATTTTAAAGTGGGTCATTGCAAAATAGGCATTGTCAGAAGCTGTTTCTGAATTCAGTATACCAAAGGACTCTGGCTGTTTTGACTTGTGATAGCTGCCAGACTTGATGCCGAATCACTGAGTATGGAGAATTTCTCCTGTTGACATGTGTTCGCATATTTAATTGCGGCACTGATAGCTAGAAGCTCTGTTGGTATACCGAGTTGTTCAAGCCTAGTTTCCTTTTTCCACTCGAATGTTACAACTCCATTTTCCAGTCTACAGAAGGCGCTGCCCGTTCCGTTCTCAGTTTTGGAGCCATCTGTGAAAAGGTTATTACTGTGCCTCTGGATTGGTTGGTCGTTTATGCTGATACCGTCGGAGAGATTAAAAGCTGCTGGATGAAGCAGTTGTTTTGCTCCTCGTAGTCCGAGTGGTGATCAGATTTCTACTGCACCCTCCGGTGAGCTCTAGCTTGACACTACTGATGTTGCAGATGGCATTGATTTGGAAATAGTGATATGGCCACTACAAGGCATCTGGTTCAGATCTGTCCTGCAAGTAATTGATTTGTTATAGTTAACTGTGCCACTGTAATGCGAAAAGGCTTGAATATCTACTGCAGAGACAGTGTGATGCACTGTAGACATGCAGTGAATACGATAGTTTTCAATTTGAATGGTGGGTCATGTGCAGCTAGATCCTGGCCTTCTTGAGACAGTACCCTCCTATGACCACTGCTGCCAACATGCATGCACAGTGTATACATTTCTACCATGTTTTTGTTCATAGACCTCAGTAAGCTGTTGACATTGCCTTCTTCAACTTCCTTAAAATTATTCTGTACTCAAATCTTGCCCACAGCACCCAATCTGGAAGATATACAAAGCTCCACATTTATTCATCTAGCACAAAATCTGAATAGACATCATCTTTCAGATGTGCAAAATGTGGTTCCTGAATTTTGTTTATCTATTACATTTCCTTGCTGCTGAGGTTTCATTTTCCATCAGTGTATTTTGAGTCTATGCATGTATTGGCATGACTTTTTCGTGAAGTACTTTTTGCACTAAAGGTTATTTGTTAATTTGACCAGTTAAATAATATGTGATTATCCTGTATGTTTTTCATCCATTAACTTTGCCTTTAAATTATTTGTTAGAGTAAGGTCTATCTATTGATTGATATCAATTTTCTCTTTTGATTTTATGGTTTATGTTAAATAGTTCTAAGAAGTGTCATGTTATTAATAAGGCACCTTTATACCCGATTATGCCTTTGTCTGATAAGGTTTTGAAATTGAATTTCAAATGCTTGGAATGGTTAAAGTTTGTGTTTGAAAGCATTTTGATGAGAAACATATGTACCATGCATGGGGTCTATTGATATAAAGAGCACAGTCAAGTTATGCAAGTAGTTGGGTAGTACTCAGAATTTTGTGTGGAATTTGTGGTACATATATTGAGGATATGATTACGACCAATGCATTTAAAGTGGAACTGTGCTTCACCACTGATACATTTTGAATGTGGTCATGGGACTTGGAAATTTTTGGGCTTCAGATTATGTTCTTTTTGGGGTTTTAGAAAACTGAAGCTGGTGTTAAACTGTGTTAATCTGATATATCTTGGTTACAGTAAACAATTAACCCTTTCAAACTGAGACTTGTTTAAAAGCCTTAAAAAGATGGTTTTCTCATTTTTGTCCGCCAACTTTTTGAGAGATATCTTCTTGTTTTCAAGAGTAGTTTTTGTTTGCTAGTGACTGCATTTTTGAAAGTCTTTTTTATATAAAAAAAAAAAATGAGAAAATAGAGAATCCCAACCCTTCTGGCAAAGCTGCTTAATGGAAATAAGTCTCAGTTTCCAAGGGCACAAGAATGACTCTTCTTTTTTAAAAGTTTTTAAAAGGGCATATGGGGTAATAACACTAAACTTTTTTTTCTAAGTAAATACAGTTACTATGTCCATTGTACTGGCCATCCTAATTCTCAAGGATTAAATACTGTGGCAACTTCCATAAAGATGCCATTTTAATGCATGATAATATTTCTATAATTGATGATGATAATATCTATATTTTGATAATATTTAATGATAATGCCATTTCTGTTGTTGCTAGGGTGAGAAGCAGAAGTTTGATAATCTTAAATGAGAGATTTCTTATTTATATTCTAAATGTCTTGTGCAATTATTTCATTATCTGTCTTGCAAAAAAAAAAAAAAAAAAAAAAAAAAAACCTTAAAAATGTTTATTCTCACCAGGTAAGGGTGTAAGGAAGGTTATATTGAACTTATGCAGCTGACATTTTTAATCTGTTCATCACTATATAAAGGTCTTTAATGACTAACATTTCAGATCCGACAGTCCTGAGACAAATTTTCTGATCAAAAATTATATGAAAAAAAAATTTTTTTTTTTTTTGTAAATTTATTGGTAAGTATGGCTTTTGTGTATGTTGCAATTGTTTGATCTGAATTTTTTTTCACTTCCTAGATTTCAGTTCTGCACAGCTTCAGTGGTTCCTCACACCACGCAGTATGCAGCGCTTGAATGCATACTGTAATCGTTTAGTAGATTATCATCTCATTATGGATTTATTGCCTGTGATTTCAAAGTTATATTTTTTACATCATCCGAATAATTTTTCATTGTCATCAGTTCAGGAAGTAAGTATTTACTTTATTTTACTATGCATTTACTTTTAAATGGGGATAAGGCCCATTTTCAAGTAATTGTTATAAATAAAATGATTTCTATATGTAATGCTGGAATTCTTTGTTTAATCCGTGACTGTTTAAAAGTTTAAAACCTTGAAATAATTCCAGTCACTTTTTTCCTCAATATGAGATTTTAATACAAAAATTGTTTTTTTGTTTCCCTGGGCACTTATTTTTTTTTTTTTTTTTTTTTTTTTTTTTTTTTTTAAAGTCATGTTTTCTTGTGGAATGTGCAGAAAAATATTAATTTTCTGATAAATTCTTGAAAATAAACATGAAAGCGTTAGGATATCAAAAATAATTCTGAACGGTCTTTGTACTTTTAGAGTTATAAAAATAAATGTTTACGAAGTTAAAAATATATTTTAGCAACTCTATTTTTCCATGGAATAACATATCTTCCCGCCTTTTTTATAATTTGAAAATTAATTGACATGTTTACAATGTTCATATTTTACAGCTGTTTTCTTACGTAAATAATTAATTTACTGAAATTATTTTTATATTTCTTTTTACTGTGTAAAGAGTAGATGAAAATAATGTTCATAAAGTTACATAGGCTTCAAAAGAGAAGACAAAGACATCAAAGTAAAACATAAAATTACGCAAAGATACAATCTTGTGTGGGGCTGTGATTCTTATCAATTTCAAGGGTGCGCAGATACAGGTCTCTCTTCATCAGGAATAAAGAAATCTGCTATGAAGGGAGAAGCCACAGCCATGTTTCATCCTTTTATATGCTACAAAATTACACACATTCATCAGAATTTCGATTTTCAAGCCATTTTCTCATTTAAAAATAAAATCTATGGCTCGATTCTTAGATTCTGTTTCCGACTTTAATTTTTGGGGAATTTATAGCGTACCCTGTTAAATCATAATTTGAAATTTAATCAGAATTTTGACTATTGCAAAAAGTTTCTGCAGAGGTTATCCAAAAAGCTTTTCTAGTTGGTAAATTGAGTTTCCTTGAAGCTCTTCACATTCACAAAGATATATTCTGTTCAGTTGATGACTTTAATTCAGTGTTCTATTAGGGGCCCACCAGCGTCCAGCGCTGAACACTGGTAGTTCGGTCCGAGGTTCGAATCCCGCAAACGGGCTGGCTGCATGGGTGTTTTCGTGGTTTTCCCCATGTGTAACGTGTATACGAGCCAGTTTCCCTTAGAAAGTCCTCCACGAAAGGCATCCCTCCCTTTGGCAGATAGCCCTAGTATGCTTTGCCGTAATTAAATACACCACACCACCACCAGTGTTCTATTAACTTAATTTTCTATACTATTTCTGCAGACAAGTGGCACTACCTTCTTATTAGCGTTACTACTTTGCTTTTGGTATAAATAGAGCCATGGCTTCTCCCTATGTTGTTCCTTTTTTTTCTTTCATTCTTTAATTACTTTTTATTTATTTTTTTTTTGTTATTAAATTTAATTAAGTTAGTTTTTTTTTTTTTTAATTATGGGCGTATACGTCCCAGAGATTAGATTTCATGGCCTATTGAGTAAATGAAGCCCACTTTTAAATCATTTTTCATGTTTGCAGTGTTTTTAAGGAATTAGGGAACAAATATATGACTAAAGAAACCTGGCAACACTTTTAAATTGCAAATGGCACACTTATGATTTTGAGCATGCCAATTACTTAAATTTTGATTTGTCTATTTTTTAATTTTACAGTAAATACAATTAATATCTAAGGCATGCTTAGTATGAAATATTTCTTATTGTTCTTATTAAGAGTAATGTTTATGTATATGAAACATGTATGAAAATTTTTGTTGTATATGAACTGGTGCACGTGGCAGAGTTTACGTTTTGTAATATTCACATTATAAATTACCACAAATTTTAGTTTTGTTGTCTGAGAAAGAGTACATTTTGAAGCCCACTTTTAAATCATTTTTCATGTTTGCAGTGTTTTTAAGGAATTAGGGAACAAATATATGACTAAAGAAACCTGGCAACACTTTTAAATTGCAAATGGCACACTTATGATTTTGAGCATGCCAATTACTTAAATTTTGATTTGTCTATTTTTTAATTTTACAGTAAATACAATTAATATCTAAGGCATGCTTAGTATGAAATATTTCTTATTGTTCTTATTAAGAGTAATGTTTATGTATATGAAACATATATGAAAATTTTTGTTGTATATGAACTGGTGCACGTGGCAGAGTTTACGTTTTGTAATATTCACATTATAAATTACCACAAATTTTAGTTTTGTTGTCTGAGAAAGATTAATATCCTAGACGATTGGGACAAATAGTCCTAGCTGACAATACGATTGGGACATATTGTCCCAGGATATTTCCAGGAAACGTATATAGTACTTTTAGTATGTCAACATTAAATTAAACTACATGCAAGTCGGGTCGAAAGGCTTAAAGAGGGATCTATACCTGTTCGCTATCAGTACAGATAGAATCTTACTTAAAATCTGCAAAACACAAGGTTGTTGCTTTTTCTTATTTTAATGTTCTTTGTTTCATTGCTAAACAAAGCTGATACTGATTTCAAAATTTATTTTATATTATTATTGTTTTGTGGGGAATCATTCTCTTTTCTTCCAACAGATGGCAGCACTATCCAGACTTTGATTTGTTTCGTTATTGGGAAGTGCATTTTCTGATTAAATAACGTTCTGTTTGGACAATGCTATAAGACCAGCATGTGATCTAGATACCATAACAAAAATAAAATAAAATAAATAAATAAAATAGAATTATGTAGTTGTTAGGCTGTTAATATCTTTATAGTGTTAACTAACTTGCGTCTAACTTTATGGTGTTAACATCCTTTCTTCTGTACACAAGAACCTCACGCAACCGATCTGATTATAAAAATATGTGGAACTTTAAACAACTACCATTTCCACAGTTATTATTATTACTACTACTACTTTTTATATTTATTTGCAAGGTTGTTTTAAAAGTGATTTTTCACAAAATAAATAGAAGCGTTAGTTTTTAAAATATTATCTATAAAATATCGAATAAATCTTTTAACTAATGAAGCTTATGGAATCATTTATTTTATTTCCTTTTCCATAGAACAGAAATTTTGGTCCAAGATTAACTGTATTCAAATCTCTTAAAGAGAAACTTTAAAATTACAAAATATACTTCCTCCATTATTAACAATGAAGATGTTTTGATTAATATTTTACCAATATAAATGATACTGCTACAATTAAACATTATCATTAATTCTATCGCTTAGCAATTTCTCATATATAAAAAAGTGTAATCTAAAAGACAGCAAAATAGGGATTGGCATGATGTAAATGAAACCCTTCCTCATTTCTCCCACCTTCATTACATACATATTTATCTATTTTATCTAACAAATAATTAAACTTTTGAAAGTTCAAAGGCTTTATTGTTGCCTATATTTTAATGGTTTTAGAATAAGAATCAACTACATAAGCGAAAGGTTACACTTCTAACTAAACTTTTACAATAACCAATATCTTAATTTTAAAACTTAAAGAATGGGAAATGCCCCAAAGTTTGCATTACTGTACTCTAAGAGGGTGGAATGGCCATAACTATAGACTGTGAATAGGAGATAGTACTATGTTTTGAATCATTTTCTTAAATAGTTTATATGTTCATTTTGGCAATTAGTTCACTATAGGCCCAGAAATGTTGAAAACGTGTAAATTATTTCTTCTTTGCATTTTAAATTCTTTTTGTGTTACTTTTTACATCTAGACTTTGATTTATTTGGCTATCGCGAAGTGACTTGAGTATTTTTTTATAATTTTTAAGAATAAATTTATTTCTTGAAAAGCTCACTTCAAACTATTTCAGTAGTTGCTCTTAAAATGTAATGACGATCATAATGATTTCATTTACTTATATTTAAAATAGTTCTCTTTTAAAATAATTAAACTGTGTCAAAAATGGAAATATGTTTTTCATTTTAGGTTGTACTTTTATCTATGGGTTTTCAAAATAAGTCTGTGGAACAAATAGCTGTTGAATTAAATATGGAAGCAGGCCAAGTCATGGGTGTTTTCATGAAAACCATGAAAAGAATTTTACAGTGGTTTAATTCTTACAATATTGTTTCAGAAGAAAATGCAAACAAGAAAAATTCAGTAAGATTTTGTTCATATATAAATATCTGCATAAAAATGTTCCAAATATCTGAACTGAATGGGATTAGAACTCATTACCAAAATCAGTTTTCATATATATGCTTTTTAAAAAGTTTTATTCATAATACATTTATCAGTAATACAGTGCAAAGTCTGAGATCCAAATTTGTTGGGACTTCAGTGATTTTGGATCATTTATTCATGATTACTGGATAACTTGAACTCCCTCTCCAATAAAATTGCAAAGCTTAAAATTTAAACAGTTGTTGATTACTTTGGTTGCACTATCTGGGAATTTCTCATCAGTAAAATCGTTGCTTTCTAATAACCATAGATTATGTTTCTATTAACTGTTCATGCAAATCTCCTGGAGACACACCTTGTATTTAATTTTATGTATTTATTTATTTTAATTTTATTTTGTGTGGCCTTTTTTTTCCCCCATTTATCATATGTATTGTATCTTTGTTTGCCTGTATATTAAAATTTGCTTTGAAGTGTTCTTACATATTGGTTTGCAATGTAATGTATATTTGTTCAAGTTAGGCTTTTCAAAACTTTTTGCACAATATCATAAATATAAAAATTTTATAGACCCATTACAAATTTCAAAATTTTAGAACATAACTAATTTTCATTATTATAACTGGCATTTTAAAATCATTTATAATACTGTCTGAAATTATTGTATATTATTATTATATTTAATATTTTATGGAAAACTGGAAGACTTCACAATTTTCTTCAAATATGAACATATCCATTTGTTGGGCAAATCCATATTAACTAATAGTGTTAATTTACTAATGGTTAAACAGATGCTAGGAAGTTACTTATAAAGGCTTGAAGCCAACAAGGCCTTTTTGAACTGATTCCATTATATTAAAAAGAAAAAATGCCCAAAAGGGTGTGTTTTTAACGTTTTGTGTGTTACTTTTATTTATTAAATATCATATTCTTTGCATTTAAACCATAAAATTCAGTTCATGGTTGAAGATGCACGTGATGTTAATGTTAATGGAACGCTTTCAAATCACTGAGTTTGTTAATAAAAAAATTCGTTAAAGTTTTACAAAATATGAAATAGATAATAAAACAAATTCAAAATTTGAGCTTTCAGATGCCCCTATTCAAGTGGAGGACTACATTATTCAAAATTTGATGTCTGTACTACCATTGTTTTTTCTGAATGTGAGACACATAGATTCATTCATACAGATTCTTCATTATTTAATTTCTTTAAATACAGTTGCAGGGCTCTAATATTTGGTGGCAACAATTTGAAAAGTGATTCAAACTTTTATAGTGAACCACCGTAAAACGCTAAAACAAAATTAGTAGCCCTTCTGAGCTAATGTTCCTTAACTAAAATCTTACTCTGTTATATATTTTAAAAAAAAATAAAAACAATAATTATATATGAAAGATGGGAGCCTTCAAAATTTAAATTTTTTAAGATAAATTCTGTTTCTTTAATCCTTGAGTCATCTGCTGAATTATTGCATAAGAATTAGTTGACAGGATATAATAATGTAGGAAATACTGATAATGTAGATAAACAGATAACAAAGTGGAGATGAAAAGCTTCCAGAGTGATTGCTGATTTAAACACATAACTTTATTTTCATAAGGTCCCAATCACATTATGTTTTGGCTACGCCAGTCTTGACATCTATAGGGACAATTCTCAGAACATGCACAATTCCAGGAAAACACATGTAGCTAGGTTACCATTCCAACTTACTACAAAGACTTGAACGCCAAACAGTAATCGATTATCGCTCAAATCGGGATCGCGGGTCCTTCGGAAGCAGAACTTTCGTCTGATTGGTTGTCTCTACCTGCGACCCGAGACATTTTCAGTGAGGTTTGAAAAAATCCCACTTAGCCACAACATTGCTTCCGTAGCTAGGCGGGACTTCACTTCAGGCGGGGTTTCTTTTTTTCTAGGAGTCCTCCCATTGCTACCAGAATCTCGTTTCTCAGAAAAGTCCCGTCTAGCAGGGACTAGACATGTGTGATCACCTCTTAATAGAGCAAACCGTGATATGCATAAACAGATTTTACACAGCTCATTTATGGATGCATGATGCAATCCATAATTTCATATATATATATATATAACAAGCCTTTTATTAAAACTAATATTTGCATATAGTTATAAAACAATTATAATGCCTAGATGTAATTTTTTAAATTTTTATTTTATTTTAATTTTTTTTCTTGTAGATTTTAAATTCAAATTCTGAAGAATTTCCTAATCTTCAGTCACATCAAGCTAAAAGGTAAAATAATTTATTTAATTTAATTATATACATAAATGTGCAGTGTATCTTGTATATAAGTATAAGAATGTCAAATAATATTTATATTCCTCTTTCCTTAGATCTAAGAATTCTCATAACAGTGCTAGAAAGAAACAAAAGTTTGAAGAAACAATAAATACTGCCAGAAGTTAGCGTAAAAGCATGTAAACTTTTTAGAAAATAAAGTTTGTATACATTTTAACTCTTTTAGATTGTAAATATGAGTTAAACATTTTCATTTTGTAAGCTCATACACTACCTGACATAGAAAATACAACACTAATAAGGAGAAATTCTGCAAATTTCAGGGTAGATGCTCGTCACTGGGTTATGTGAATGATATGAAATGCACAGCTCTCCAGCTCACAGCAAAGAAGATATAAGGGAAGGAACATGCAGAATGTTAAATTTTCGTGCCGTTATTTCTGGTAGGGAAACCGTAGAAAATTTGTTCTTGACCCAGAGAACGCATGTAATAGCAGAGAATGCTAAGCCGTCATCAACAGAGGTAGTTCCAGCAGACAGACGATTTTACAAGGACATAATGATCGGATTAAGAAGGGTAGGTTGGTCCATAGGGCAAATATCAGCTTACACACATTTGGCACACCACAGTGCACTAGCTGTGGCGATGATGATTGGAACAATGAAATGTGGCAAGTTCGAGGGTGTCGGTGTAGCGAGAGTGACAGTGCTCGTGGATAGACGCATCCATTGATAGGCAGCAGAAGTTTCTTTTTATCAACAGGTCCAATCCGGCAGCAGTTGTGGAATGCCCCACCACACGGCAATATGGCATGATGATTGAGGGTACAGTTATGTAGGATTTCAGAACACCTCTAGTTCATACTCAGGGCACTATGACAGCCCAACAGTACATAGATGATGTGCTGCGGCCGGTGACACTATCCTACCTTCTGGGAATGCCCAATGTCCTTTATCAGCAGGATGATGCCGGCCAAACTCTGCTCGCATCAGCCAACATCTCTGCAAGGTGTACGAATGCTTCCCTGGCCACCATTCTCTCCTGGTCTCTCACCAATCGAACACATTTGGAATGTGATTAGACCCCATTTGCAGACCCTGCCATTGACGTGTTCAGAAGACTAACTGTGACAAATGGTTGAAAGGGAATTGAGAGCCCTCATTCAGGACACCATCCATAGTCTCATCGACTCTGTAACTAGATGTGTTGTATGTATTGCCATTCAAGGTGTTCCTACAACCTACTAAGCTGACGCTGTTATCAGTATTATGCATATCATTTCAAAATAAAGATCACTTGTTCGTTGCTGTCTCTCTGTTTGGAGAGTTTCATCACTGTCTGGTCACTCTTTCTTGGTGTTGCATTTTCTATGTCGGGTAATGTATTCGTGAACTTAAACAGAGAGGAAACACTTTTTTCAAAGAGCCATGTTTTCTACATGATGCAAATTCAAAATAGTTTTCACAGGTACCTCAAAGGATTTTTATTTGTTTTACACTGCAGATATGTTATGATCATATTTATATTTTGTGCAAGAAGTGAGAACATTTGCAATAAATGTGATTTATTTGCTTATATTCTTGATTTAGTGAGAGCAAGTGGCACAAATGAAGTTAGATGTGTAATGCATCATTTATACACAGAGTTAAAATAACAACTTTATAGTTTTATTTCCTTAAATATTTGTCTTACACAAGCACTTATAAAATTTCTCAAGGCATTTTATGCAAATGATTTTGCCATCATTGACAAGAGATTCCTGTAAATGTATAATTATTATATGATCTCCCAAAAGCAAAGTTTCTAATTCCTGTTAAAATGTTTGGAATACTTTAAGGAAATAAGTTAAAAAAAGTTCTATAGCCTTATGTGCAAAATTTGTAGGTACAGTGGAACCTCAGACCACAAATGTCTCTCATTACAAACAATAACACAAAAAAAATTTTCTGAACAAACAAACAAAAAAAAAAAAAAAAAAAAAAAAAAACACCCTCTCAGATGAATACAACACTCTGGTTGGCAACTAGTGATATTTAAGGGTGATTTGAGGTTGTTCCAGAATGCAACCTATGCCAGAGAATTAACACTCAGGGATTTCGTGAAACGTCATTGTAATATTTTCTAATTGGTTGTCTCTCATTATCAAAACATGCCAGCAAGTGACTTACTAGACCATTAATTTGGCGTGGCCGTAAATTTAGGAGTAGACTGTGTTGCAGTGACAGGCTTTGGCACGTAAAATATTTTTTGTTATCTGTAGTAGTAAATCTTTAAGCTTGATCTTGGAAGTTAACAATTAACAAATGAAAGGGTTACTAAAGGACCATAAACCTGAGCTGAGCAAGAAAGAACAGCTTCAGAATTTGCAATAAAAGACAATTGTGAAGGAATGAAGGGTTAGTGCATCTTGATAATCTGAAGTAAGGGGAATTAGGCCTAGAATGTAGAATTTCTGCAAGTAAAGTAACCAATTGTACATATGTAAATACTCTCTTTCCTGTAACTCTTCTGAGAGGAAACTTTACAGATTTAATTTTGCATGAGGAATGACATACCACTGAGTAGAAAAAGTGTCAAAAAATCTGTTGAATCCTTTACTTACTTAATTTCCTTAAAAGCTATTTTCACTTCACACAGTTTTATTCTCACTGCAATAAAATTATCGCTGAAAATGTGTTGTGGTATATCACTATGATGCGCTTTATCACTGGAAATTTTCGCCTCGTCAGGTCTTGCAGGATAGCTTCTTCTGTAACCGTCTCGGGTAGATTCTTTATTACCACTCTTAATGGTTTTTCGCTCTGCAACTATAACATATGGTAAGGGATGCTTCTGTAAGTGAGAATTTTCGTCACTTTCCTGTACTCATCGGCGGTCTTTACATTTGCGTAGATTGAAGAGGTTTTCATCTCGGCTTCGAATTCATTTTCGCAAACTTGCACGAGCAGTTTGTGAACTTTTTACTTGTCTCTGCTTTTTCTTCAGTTTCATTTCTGACTTCTTTCTGCTGGGCTGGACCTGCTCATAAAGCTTCCACGATTTTAGCTGTTCCAATCAGTGGATCTTCGCTCCTCCCTCATCTGGCTTTCCATCCGTATTCAGGATTTCAAATCGGTTTTCTTTAGCGATTTTCATCAGGATTTCATTTTCAGTAATCTTTGCTGTCTTTCTTGGGGTAATCCATCCGGGTTCTTTATCTTTCTGCTTTTTAGCTTCATTTTTACTTGTCTCTGCTTTTTCTTCAGTTTTATTTCTGACTTCTTTCTGCTGTGCTGGACCTGCTCCTAAAGCTTCCATGATTTTAGCTGTTCTGTGTTGTTTAATAAACTCGTAAATTTTTTCTACTTTTCCTGCCTGTCCTATTTCTTCCATGAATTCCTTTGATCCAAACTTCACTTTTAGTCCAACATCGATTTCCGTCGAGGTTTTAATTTTCTTCGGCTTGTTCTTTTTAGGTTTCAGAAACTTCAGAAAATCTTCTTTCCTTAACCCTTTCAGAACGGGCATTCCATATACACATTCCCTAAGAACATCTCTTACAGCCGAACATCCCATCCACACATCGCTAGAGATTGCATTCAGAGGACAGGTCATGCGTATATGCATTTTAAGCTGGAACATTTTTCTGAAGGCCACTAGATGGCATCCTATGTCCATTACTTTTGAAATGAATACAGTTTTAGGCTCCTGACCTTGAGTTTGATATATTCTGCTTGACTTTGGTATTTTACTCATCTTCTCAAGCGAGGGTGGGAGGGTGGGGGAAGGAAAAGTGTAAACAGAGGTAAGCTCTTTAAATCGCTGCATGCTAATGAAAACATTGGCATGTCTGATTTATATCCAATTCCTTTTTTTATTCTATTTTTTTCCTTTACTATGTACGGTTTTTTTTAGGGTTAGTATGTGGAGTATTGTTATGTTTTGCATTGCCTTCAGTTATATTTCCATTTCTTCTCTTTTTATTTAGGAAAGCCTCACCTCCAGTCTATTATTGCGGGAAGGTTCTATTTATCAGAGGAAGAATACCCTCATATGGTCAATGAACCATTTATTAACGCAGATGAGAGTGATGATTCATTTTCTAAAGAGTTAGAAAGTGACACTTCTCCGTGCTTCGAGATTTACCACAGTCTTCATTTTAAATTTTGTTACTCCGTACTGTAAATAGTCTTTATTGTGTTGTTTTATTAATTTTAAACTTTATTGATGGATTTTATCAATTAAAACTTTGGAATAATTTGAATAACGCTTCCGAAAATTATTTTACAAGATAAGCAATTTTTTAAGTATATTATCTTGTAAAATAAATAAAAAAATGTTATTAAGTGCTAATTTTAACATACATAAGAGCTCAAGTAATAATCTAAAATGATACCAAAAATTACAATGCTAGAAGCGAAACGTTTTTTTTCCGATTTTATTTATAAAATTAGGTTTAGAGATGCAAAACCTCCATCCTGTATGGTGACTGCCTTTGATTCCCCTCTGTCCCGCATGAGCATCTTAAACAAAGGTGCGCCATCGCGAAAAGGTTAAGGGGAATGTCTTGCTGGAATTCCAAGATGGTAGTGAATCATGATCGCTTTGCTTTATTTCGTAGTCTGATAAATCGCAGGGTGTCCTAAATAAGGACTTTTTTACCTGAGGGTAACTAACATCAGTAGAAAAATCACTGTCCGCCTACTTGACTGGAACAGTACAATCGCAAGTGAGAGAAAACTGCAGCACGTCCTACATGTTCGCTGTCACCGCTCATAATGCCGGGCTGAAGGCAGAATATGAATTTAGAATATATGCTAAAATACTACCATTACTGAGATCAACTACATCAACGAAAATGTAAACAAATCATTTCCATATGCCACACCCCTTATGATTACAAAACATCATGTGATCAGCAAATTTTCAAATCTTATTTTTATTTCCAGTTAAAGAGTATGTTCCCAGTTCATCATATGAAATTTCGATTGAACTCAGTTGTTACTCCAGTGCTCAAGCAGTTTCGATGACTTTCAGATGAATTTCTGTGCTTATTTCTACCAATTTCAATTCTATGTAGCCACACCTTTCCGCCAATGTCAACTCTTTTGATTATGCTGTATCGGCGAAGCATTTACTGCTTGTATTTTTTTTATATCTGCCAGCGCCTCAGGACATATTTTCAAAACTATGGGTAAAAGCAGCGATGCTCACACCCTTTATACCATCATGTTACA